CTGCGGGGTGTTTGGACTCAAGAGGTGATGCCTCTCCATGAGAATGAAACGCTGGGGGAGATGCCCAACTTCCTTTTCACATCAAGTTATTTGCTGGATCCTTATGTTATCAGCCAGGATCCCTGCACAACCCGAAATGGCATTTTGGAGCCAGCCTGCCACCCCACCAGCATGGTCCAGCACGGTCCAGCACTGCCTGGGCTTGGCAAGCCCCCCGGCTGCAGCAAGCCTGCCACCCCACCAGCATGGTCCAGCACCGCCTGGGCTTGGCAAGCCCCCCGGGTGCAGCAGGATGCCCACGGGAGGTGCTGGTCCAGGCTGGGCTCAGCCCAGGGATGCCATCTGCCCTTCAGAGCACCGGGAGGAGAAGGGGAGCCCGGGCAGCACCACTCAGCCCCGCTCAGCCCCAATGAGAGCAGCGCTGCTGAAAAAAACCACACACTCCGGCTGGGCTCAGCCCAGGGATGCCATCTGCCCTTCAGAGCACCGGGAGGAGAAGGGGAGCCCGGGCAGCACCGCTCAGCCCCAACCAGAGCAGCGCTGCCGAAAAAAACACACACTCTGGGTGTCTCTGAGTCACCTCCCTGCTCCCCAGCCTTGGCTCCCGCTCCCATCTCCATCACCTGGAGGGCAGGCACAGCCCTTGCGTTTCAAACCCAAGCAGCTGATCTCCTGCAGCCTCCGATTGCCCACAGCAAGAGGAGCCACAGCAGGATTGAAGGTGCAGCTGTGAGAACCATCAGTGGAGAGACTCAATCCTCCAGCTCGTGCCTGCCAGCGGGCTGGAACCAGGGAATGCCACCACCCAGCCCCTAGAGGTAATGGGAAAGTCTGATTTCTCCTGCTCCTGGAAGGAATCTCAACCCCCTGGAAGGGATTTCCCAAAGCCGAGAGGGGCCAGGGAGGAATGGGTGGCCGATTGCCCACAGCAAGAGGAGCCACAGCAGGATTGAAGGTGCAGCTGTGAGAACCATCAGTGGAGAGACTCAATCCTCCAGCTCGTGCCTGCCAGCGGGCTGGAACCAGGGAATGCCACCACCCAGCCCCTAGAGGTAATGGGAAAGTCTGATTTCTCCTGCTCCTGGAAGGAATCTCAACCCCCTGGAAGGGATTTCCCAAAGCCGAGAGGGGCCAGGGAGGAATGGGTGGCTCTCAGAGGCTGGGGGGCTGGCAAGGAGGTGGCCCCCAGGAGCAGAGCCCAGCACAGGGGCAGACCCGACCTACCCTCTGACCCCAGCTTTTGCCACCGACCACATAATTATGGATATGGCTCTTCTCACCATCCTGCTGCCTGCTGACCTCTCTCTGTTTGCCAAGCTGTTTACGAGCTGCTAGTAAAAAGCAAATGGCATTATCACGAGGGAAAGTGTTTCGGTTCCTCAGGTACAGAGGTCTTGCAGGGGGTGTTATCTGGAAGCGCGGTGCAGTGGAGGTGTGCTGGAAAGGTCTGAAGTCCTACCAGCCACCTTTCCCAGCAGATCCTGGGGAGAAGCCAGCAGACAGAGGGGGGGTGGCTGCAGGACATGCTGCGGGTCACACTGAGAGCTCACAGTTGCTCAGGAAGCCCCCAGCCCCTGAAGTGGAGATAGACATGGAAACAGACTCCTGGGAGAGCTGCTCAGGGTGGGAACTACACCTGGAAAAGGCCGAATGAGATGTAGGTGTAAAGCTTTTGGGAAATCTTGGCTCTGCATAGCACCACCATGGGGAAAAACACCCCCAGCCAGGAGCACCCAGTGCCACAGAGTGACCTGCCACCCTCTGGGGACACATTGGCTCTGGGGACACGCCAGGGATCCTGTTTGGTGACAAGAGCTTGGGTTTCACTACAAAGGCATCTGACCCAGACCTACTTCTCTCTATGCTGTGACTCAGAGAGCTCCTCTTTCTCTCCCTCTCTAAATGCTGGGCACATCCCCAGCTTTGATTACAGACCGTCTCCCCCCCAGCCTTGTCCCCAGTCCCTGACATCTCTTCATTAAGTCCTAGAGCGGGTTTATTCCCATGACGCTGCTTTGTCTGTCACTTTCTCCAGCCTTTCTGGGGAGGGGGGAAAAAAAGCAAAGGCTCAGCCCCCAGCTGTGCTGCAGCCAGACAAAGGGAGCGGATTCCTCCTCCTCCCCTCGCTCCAGCTTAACAAAGCACCCAAGCCTCCACGTCGTGGCCTCGCTGCAATGAGCAGGGCTACAGGGCTAATGAGAAAGCCAGAGCCCGAGGAGCACGGGGCTGTGCTGTGTGTGGGAAAGGTTCCTTGAGGACAAAGGAAAACACTTCATTAAGAGCTGGAGACTCTGGGCCGCGCAGAGGCGGCTGAAATGGAGATTTTTTTGCTGCGCCGGGAGACACGGGGTTTGTTCTAGAAGAGGAGAAGGCTCCCTCTCGCCCTCCTTCCAAGCCTCCTCCAATTTTTACAGTTCAAAGGGATGTTTTATGAGCCTTCTGGGCTCAGGAGGCAGCACCCCCGGGGCTGCACACAGAGAGGGATGCTTTTAGCACCTTCCCTTGGCTCTGCTAGACCTCACAGAGCATTAAGCATCAAGTGATGCTGTTAGACAGAAATGCCTGGCCCTGGTGCCCCGCTCACTGTTCCCTTCAGTCTCACCCCCCCAGCAGATCTCACCCTGGAGCCCTCCCCAAGTGCACTATATCAAGATTCCCTCAGCTGGGCTCCGTGGTCCTCAGCAGGGACCTGGAGCACAACCCAGGTCCTCCATCCCAGCCGCAGCTTCATTTCTGCATCAGGGGTAGAGCTCCTTTCTGCAAATTAGAGGGTTTAATTTCTACCTTCCAAAACGTGGCACCTAAATGAAGAAAGCATCAGGAGCACAGATGGGAACGTGACAGGGGATGGGGACAGACGCAGCCCTGCCTGTGCAGGCAGCCAGGGCCAGGCAGGTGGGATGTAAATAATTAGGGAGCAGGTTGTTCGCTGCCGAGTCGGTGCCTTTCCCCTTTCATCTGAGCCAGGAGGCGCCTGGAGATCAGAGAGAGGGGACTTGGAGCTGACAGGGCTGCACTTCAAACAGGAGCCACTGGCTTCACCAGTTCCCAGCAAATACCCACAGAGAGGAACAGCCCCCACTGCCCAGGGAAGGGGCAGGATCCAGGCTGGGGGGGAAGATGCAGGTGATGGGGCTGGTCCCTGCCCTCTGACTTGTCCCTGTGTCCTGGTTTGAGCCACAAAAGAGTCATTTCTCTTCCAGTAGTTTTACTTTTCACTAAGGTCTCCTCTAAGGCTTGGGAAAACTGCACTTTTAGGAGACTCTAGTGTCTGAAGTTGGGAAAATATTTACTTTATCACCAGCTCTGGTGCGTAAGTTTCAAGGTCTCGGTGCTTTCGAGCTCCCCAGGTGCAGGGACGAGGAGGAGCGAGACCCGGGCACTTGACCCAAGGTGCCACCAGGGTTATTTCTTACCATGAACGTCACATTCAGTATAAATTAGGAAGTTTGCTGCAGAGTGCTCTCTCTCTCCCTCGATGGCTGGGATCCTGGGAACTCCTTGCCCCCGTGATCTCCCTCGATGGCTGGGATCCTGAGAACTCCTTGCCCCGTGCCAGAGCCCTGAGCCCTTCCCTTCCTCCTGAAACCAGTGTCCCACACTGGCTGTCCCTGCTGGGAGTGCACAGCTTCTGGGATGGAACGGGCTGGGGGTAGTCCTTGGGTATTTTATATTCTCATCGGGATCAATATTGGGCCTTTAGTGTTATTAAAGTCAATTATTTAGTCTTGTTCTATTAGATCATAGAATCATAGAATGGTGTAGGTTGGAATCATCGAGTGCTCCAGCACCTCGAGATCTCTCTTGTATTGAGGTGCCCAAAACTGGACACAACACTCGAGGTGTGGCCTCCCCAGTGCTGAGCACAGGGGCACAATCACCACCCTACTCCTGCTGCTCACACTTTATCTATTTCTATTCCAATCCCCGGGAGTTAGGTCCCGGTCCGATTGTTGGTCCGGGAGGGTTTCCTTGTTTTTCCCTAATTCTCTTTCCCGGGTGGGGAAGGGGAATCAATCCCCCCGGTCCCGGCTGCCCCCCCAGGTGCTCCCGGGGCCGCCCCTGCCGTTCCCGCGGCGGCCGCACGGTGGCCTCAGTGCACAGGGGCACAATCACCTCCTACTTCTGCTGCTCACACTTTATCTATTTATATTCCAATCCCCGGGAGTTAGATCCCGGTCCGATTGTTTGTCCGGGAGGGTTTCCTTGTTTTTCCCCGATTCCCTTTCCCGGGTGGGGAAGGGAACTCCCCCCGGTCCCGGCTGCCCCCCCAGGTGCTCCCCGGGGCCGCTCCTGCCGTTCCCGCGGCGGCCGCACGGTGGCCTCAGTGCTCCGCGCCGGCGGGAGCGGGGCCGGCACCGGCGGAGCCCCCGCAGCCACCCCCGCATCCTCCGGGTGAGGGCTGCTCCAGGGAAACCACCCCCCCTCCTCCCAGGGACCGCTTTCAAAGAGAGAGAGAGACCCAGATTTGATGGATGGACCACTCAGTGGATCAGGAACTGGCTGGATGACTGCACTCAAAGGCTGGCGGTCAACAGCTCAACGGCCAAGAAATTCTTTACTGTGAATCATAGAATCATAGAATCATTGAGGTTGGAAGAGACCCTTGGGATCATCGAGTCCAACCATCTCCCCTGCTCTACAAAGTCATCCCCTACACCATATCCCTCAGTACCGCATCTAAACGTCCCTTAAACACAGCCAGGGATGGGGACTCAACCGTGAAGGTGGTGAGACACTGGCCCAGGTTGCCCAGAGAAGCTGTGGCTGCCCCATCCCTGGAGGGGTTCAAGGCCAGGCCCCGGGGGTGAGACTGCTCCTCCAGGACTCAGCTTTGCTCCTGTCTCCCAGGGCTGAACAGAAACCCCCAAATCATCCTTCCAACCCAAACCATTCTATGATGTCAGACCCCCCCTCGGCCCTGCTCGGGGTCCCCTCTCCCCTCTTTGAGGCTGGGTCCCAGCTTTTCCCCCGGTCCCAGCCCCCAGCACAGGCCCAGCTCCTCCAAAAACAAGCTTTTTAATGGTGCGACTGCTACAAGCCAGAATTGTAACCCCACGGCTTGGACAGCCCCCCCCAAACTGCCCGGGAAGAACAAAACCCAAGAGAAGGCAACAGCCAGGGTCATCCCTTGCCAAAAGCCCCTGCCCGGCCCCGGGGTGAGACTGCTCCTCCAGGACTCAGCTTTGCTCCTGTCTCCCAGGGCTGAACAGAAACCCCCAAATCATCAGAGGAGCTAAAACCCAGGTTGGAACACTGTAGATTGAGGCTATCTCTGCACGAAACTCAGCAAAGGCAGTATCTGTGCTAGTTCTGTGCTAAAAAGGTCTTCCCTCTAACCAAAACAGTCCCTTGGGTGATCATCCCTCCCAGGAGCTCCGGCAGCCCCTGGCTCCAGCTTCTGCCAAAGCGACACTCAAATGCTACAGGTTTGCAGGAAAAGCCTTGCTATGAAGGCAGAAGAATGATCCCCCCAATCTGGCTGCAGGGCAGGGGTCTCCCTTGCTGCAAGCCATAGGGATCTGTGCAGGGAAGCACGCGTAGACCCCAGGATGCTGGAAGAGGGCAACACCACAAGAGTTCCCCCTGAACCACTGACCTGCCTGAACCTGTTGCCTTTGGTAGCGGGTCAGGATGGCCACAGGGAGACATTTGCCCAAGCCCTGATCTCCAAAGTCCTTCCTGGCAGCAGGAGACACGGCACACCAGCGCTGAGAGCAGTTCCTTCATCTGGGTTTCCCCGTAGAGCTCTGAAAAACGACTGGAGGGGATCAAAGTGCTCCTTTCCCTCCGTGCAGGCTCCTGAGGGCTCCAGAGCAAGGCTGGGTTTGGCTACCGGCAAGCAGAACCGAGCTGCCCACCGAGCCCCAGCGCTGCCGGGGGCTGCCCAGCTCCACCACCACCACCACCACCACCGCTGGGGGTGACGAGGGGAAAGTCCTCTGCCAGGCAGGAGCCAGCTAGGAATCGGAGAGGCAGAGGGCCTCCACGGCATCGCTCAGGCCCTGGCTCACCCCGCCGACGGCCAGCAGGCAGTTCCGCACCACGATGCTGGAGCAGGCGCAGCGTGGGGTGGGCATGGGGGGCAAGCTCTCCCACTTGTTCTTCTCCGGGTGGAAAGCCTCCACAGACTCCAGGACGGTGGGCTGGTTTCCTGGAAGCACAAAACAAGGCATTGGGTTGCCTGGGAAGCACCGGCAAGCATCCCTTGTCTGCCCCTGGGACCTCATCCCCTTGAGGGGTCCATTCTCCCCACACCCCCAGGCCAGCCAGGGCCAGGAGCTCTCCTCTCTGTAATGATACCACCACTCACATATGCCTTTAAAGCGTTACCACCATCCCCAGTGCCTCACCTAGTCCCCCAGCCACGATGACTCTGCCTTTCAGGTAGCCAGCCACAAAGTCTGCTCGCCTTTTCTTCAAGTAGAAGGAACGCTCCATCTTCATCCAGCCACCTGGGAGGGACAGGACAGGCTGGTCATGACAGGAGCATCCACTCCTGGGACATCATCTGTCCCTCTGACCTCCTGCTCGCTTGTGGAAGTGCAGTTTTGCTGCACCTTGGGGTGATAAAACCCCACAACACAGGGTCAGCTTCCTCCCCACCATGTCAGGAGGGAGCTGTTGAACCCAGCCACCTCAGGACCATAATTTTCCCCCCCCCCACTGCTGCCTTGACTTGCTCATCTTGACTGCAGACCTTCCTCTAGGCTGGGCTCAAGGCACCAGCGGCCCCAGAACACATCAGATGAGAGCTCTGGGCTCTGCAAGGACAGCAAAGCCCCACAGCACAGCCTTGTGTGCCACCCACCCTGTTCCTCTGGGAAGGACAGAGCTGGGACAGTCCCCACCTTGTTCCATGTCAAACATGTCCACGGTCCTCATGAACTTGGGCTGCCGGTAGAGCCGGCCCTGCCGCAGGCCCCCGAGACTGAAGAGTTTGTCTTCTGTGGGCACGAAGCTGGAGAAGGCCCTTTTGTTGGGGATGTTGGGAAACTTGGTCCACGACCTGGTCTCTGTGTCGAAGACCTCGAAGGCGTTGATAGCGTACTTGGACTGCCTTCCACCTGGGGCAGGGGAAACAGAAAGAAAAGGGTCACCTTGGCTCCTAGCACTGAATTTCACTGAATTTTAGAGTTGGAAGGGACCATATAGATCATCTAGTCCAACTCCCCTGCTGAAGCAGAATTGCCTAGAGCTTGTCAGAGCATGTTACTCAGGAGCATCCAGGCGGGTCTTGAAAATCTCCAAGGAAGGGGACTCCACACCCTCCCTGGGCAGCCTCTTCCAGGACTCTGTCACCCTCACTGTGAAGAAGTTTCTCCTCATATTTGAGTGGAACCTCTTCTGTTCCAACTTGTGCCCGTTGCCCCTCGTCCTCTCACTGGGAACTGAGCCACCGAGAGCAGGAACCAGAGGAGCCTCCTAAGGCAGGCTGAGAGCGAGCTCCCAACTGATATGATGTCCCCAGGTCTCGAAACACCTGCGTGAGGGCCTGCTGGGCCAGGTAACTTCTCACCCTTGAGCTCCCTCTCCTTGAACTCCAGGTTTGTGGCATGAAATCACTTCATTTTCCAGTGCATCACACCCTCCACGCCGGCAGCAGCGGGTCGCTGGCACAGGGAGGCGTTTAGTATGCACTGGCTGAATCAAGACAAATTCACAGCAGAGCAGGGCTCAGCGCTCGGGGAACCCTTTGCAATTCAGATGAGTTCAGCCCCAGTGCCAGCCAGCGAGCCCCAGTCTCACTGCCGAGCTCCTGATGGAGCAGAAGAGCCAGAGCAGCTGCTGCCACCACTGCCAAAGACACGTATTATTCTTCCATCCATCAGAGGCAGATGAATACAGCTATTCTCAGCTCGGATGCTCGGCGTGCCTTTGAAGGCAGAGCCTGTGCTCGCTACCAGGCCCACAAACTGTTTGCCAGCAGCAAGCAAACTGCAAAATAGATCAAAGACTCTTTGCTGGTAACCCCCAAAGAGAGCCAGAGCTGTCTGGTGGTTTGAGCAAACTCCTGCGTTTCGATCCTGATACGCCATATGGCCATAAGCCACCTTTCTCTGCCTTAGTTTCCCTTTCTGTAACACAAGACTAACGAAAAAAATCCCCTGCAAAAGGCTCGGTCCAGCCTTTCCCAGCTACAGCAGGTCTTTCCTCTGCCAAAGGCAGACCCTTTGTGAAGCTGCACGGTCCTTTGCCGATAATAAAATGCATAGAAGTATTTTTACTCACTAGTTGAATCCAAGGGCTTTTATCGCAGTTGCAGGACTGCAAATTGAGCAAAGACCAGCTGTAGCCGTGGATGGGCCTGGGAGAGGGGAGGTTTCCAGAGAAAAGGAACTGCTGCCCAGTGGTGCCAAGGAGAAGGAGGAGGAGGAAGGAAGGACAGACAGCTTCTTACCCAACACGTAGATCTTGGTGCCTCTCAGGAAGGAGGTGGCAGCGTACCTGGGTGTGGGCATGGCTGCCAGTGACACCCAGATGTCCTTGAGCATGTCGTAGTGCTGCAGGTAGTTGTGTGGCCTCAGGTCAGATCCCATCCCACCAGCCGCATACACTCTGTATTCTGGACAGGGCCAAGAAGCAAGAAAATCCCACAAAATTATTACAGGAAAGCATCAGAAAGACACCCCCCTGCAACAACAACGCATGTGCCACCATACGACGTGGACCAGAACGGTTCACTCCTACCCAAGTCCCTGGGTACGTCCTGAGGTCCCATCCCTGGGGCAGAGGGAATGCACCAACCTCCTGGTCCCCAAATCAACACCGATGCTCTTCCCCCAGCCCTGCTCCCCTCTCTGGGGGCTGCTCCTCGGCTCAGCTCCCCCTTTGCCCCACCAAGGTCTGGTGCAGGATGAGACCACCCAAGTCACAGAATCACAGAATCTTCTAGGTTGGAAGGGACCTTAAAGATCATCTTGTCCAACCGTCAACCTAACTGACAAAAATAGACACCCTCAGAGGCCAGACAAGGCACTGAGGCTACTTATTCCTCACCAAATCCATAGCAGGTACATCCATCTCTGGCTAAAGACAAACCCAGCTCCCCAAGACCTGCAGGGCACCCACATCATCTCCTCCAACAACCACCTCACTCCACAGAGAGGGTTCAGGAGAGCAGCCACAGCAGCCCTGCCTTTGTGGGCAGCCTTCTGAGGCAGCTGGAAAAGCAGAGACCAGCCTGCACGCTGCAGGGATTTATTTGGGCAGCTATTTCTCTTCCTGGCCTCTCACACCAAACTGACCCCGCCGTATCAGTCAGGCAAGCTTAGACTCCGAGAGAAAAACCATCTCCGAGATGGTAAACATTATTTTTAAACATTCCTTGACGGTAGCTTTTAAACCCACTTAAGCAAACAAACGGAGCAGCTTTCAAAGAAGCTGCCTGGAGATTAGATCCATAATCCCAGGCCCGGCGGGGAGCTGGCTGACCTCAGGCACGCTGCTGGGGAACACAGCTCCCAGCCCCGGGCTCTTCAAAGCACGGCAGAGCAGGCTAAAGGAAATCAATGCTCCAACATCTCTGCTTGGAAATTAAAAAAATGAGAGGGGCTGATAAGGCAGAGCCTCCCAGGCGTTTAACAAGCCCCAGTTAAGCTTTCGGAGGGGAGCTATGCAGGAGCCCCCCATGAGGCCAACTCCTTCCCCTCCTCCTACAATGATTTGAGCCCACGATCATGAAGCTGTCTCTCTCTTGGCTGGCTCTGGGTTTGGACCAGAGAGGGCTCTTCAAACCAAAGCTGTTCTGTGTCTCTGAGACCTTCACCTCTGACTCCCCATCTCAGCCTGGTTACGCTCAGCCAGCAACACCATTCCTGTTTTTCCAGCATCTGCAGCACACAAGGACCAGAATTTGTTACAAAACCCTAGAGAAGTTTGATTTGACACCCTGGGGCTTGGACCTGTCTGAAATACCCCCAGGTACCAGCACAGCCATGGCCCTCGTGGCCACCTACAGTCATCTTTAGCAGATGGGATATGAAAAATATATAGGGATCAAGTTCTAGGAGAACAGAAAAGGTTCTGGAGAACAACGTAGCCCTGTGGCATTGCCCAGAAAGCTTTTGTGCCTGATGCATCAACTGATGCTCACCCTCCCCATCTCCCCACCCCGCAGCCACCCCTCCCTGCCCTCCAAGGACTGAACCCTCCTTGCCTTTCGCCGTCACCGAGATGCCCATGGCAGCCTCTCTCAGCGAGTTCCTCTTCTTCCACTTGCCCTCATCTATGTTGTACATCTCCACTATCTTCAGCGGCATCTGATTCACTCCGACCCCTCCTATCACCATGATCCTCTTGCCCAAAGTGGCCACGGCCACCCCTGCCCGGGCCGTGGGCATGGGGGGCAGCGCGGTCCACTGGTCGGCCTCGGGGGAGTAGACCTCGAAGCAGTCCATGGGGACACCGTTGTCATCGCAGCCCCCGATGGCAAAGACTTGCCCACCAGCTTCCACCAAGGTGGAGTAGACCCTACGGCTGGGGAGCGGGGCCAGGGTTTTCCACTGGAAGTCTTTGGTGTTAGCCAGCTCCATGGTGGGTGGGGGGGAGAGACAGCATCGGTCCCTGCCCACGGGAGGGGGCTGGCTACGCTGCAAAACAGAGCAGAGAAGTGCCAGGGGAAAAAATAACCAACAGAGAAACACAAAGTGCAAAGAGCATCCCACCCCTGGCAGAGCCACAGGGAGCCAGGAGCATCCACACCGGGCAGCCCCCCCCAACAGCCACCCCCCGACACAGAGCAGCAGCGACCCGTACCTTTCATTGCCTTCCCATTAATCCTGCAGTTCCAGAAGCTCATGCAGAGACCGATCCTAAAAATAAAACCAAACAAAAGAAGGAGGGGAGGGAATTTAAAAAAAAAAAAAAAAGGCAAGAGAGGTTGGAGTCAGTTTGTTATCGTTTCCTCAGCATCCCCGCCCCCCAGCGACATTCAAACTGAGGAGGCTGAGAGCTGTCTGCTCACTTCCCCGGCTGTTTGCCTGCCTGCTGGGGAACTTTTCCTTCCATCATCCTCCTCCTCTGGCCTGATTCCTCCTCCTGACCCCCGAGGACATCCTCCCGCAGGCTCCAGGGAGCACCCGCTCCAGTAGCCCTCGGCTGGGAAAGGCAAAGACCAGCACTTGTCCCTCCAGCGGAGCTTCGAGGGGTCCAGAGAGCAGCCCAGGGAGCAGAGGCACAAGCTTTCCCTGGAAACCCACCGTCTTTTTCTCCTCTCCTCTCTCGGAATGGCCATTAAGCATGCAGATGAGATTAATTAGCGCAGGAGGACAGAGAGAGGGCAAAGGGAAAGGAACGAAGGCAGCGGCTTTGGGAATAAGGTGGGGTTTGCACTGAGCATCTCCGCCTGCACCGTGTAACTGGGGCTGTTTAACAATTGCCCTTAAAACAAAGCAAGATTTATCTTTACCCTCGCAGACGCAGCATCCTCCCCCAGCACACACTGCCTGCAGGAACCTTTGGAGACAGGACTGTAAGGCAGAGTGAGGAGTTGCCAAAAAACCCCAAAAGAGGCATATGTCCTTGTTGAGTGCTGCTCTGCTCCGGGACAGCATCATTCCCTCCTCTCCCCATGCCCAGACTCCTAAGACCTTTCCTGGTGCGTGCCAAGGTCCCTCTAAGCCCCTGGAAAAGCTCCCCTGGCAGCAGAGAGGGGCTGCCCAGCTCCACTTTCCCATGGACCACAGTTTGAAAGTCCCTGGAGCAGAGGTTCACTCCCAGACCCATTTCCCTGCCTCCGGGCAGACACCCAGCTCCTGAACTCTTTGAGGGGTCCAGAGAGCAGCCCAGGGAGCAGAGGCACAAGCTTTCCCTGGAAACCCACCGTCTTTTTCTCCTCTCCTCTCTCGGAATGGCCATTAAGCATGCAGATGAGATTAATTAGCGCAGGAGGACAGAGAGAGGGCAAAGGGAAAGGAACGAAGGCAGCGGCTTTGGGAATAAGGTGGGGTTTGCACTGAGCATCTCCGCCTGCACCGTGTAACTGGGGCTGTTTAACAATTGCCCTTAAAACAAAGCAAGATTTATCTTTACCCTCGCAGACGCAGCATCCTCCCCCAGCACACACTGCCTGCAGGAACCTTTGGAGACGGGATTGTAGGGCAGAGTGAGGAGTTGCCAAAAAACCCCAAAAGAGGCATATGTCCTTGTTGAGTGCTGCTCTGCTCCGGGACAGCATCATTCCCTCCTCTCCCCGTGCCCAGACTCCCGAGACCTTTCCTGGTGCGTGCCAAGGTCCCGCTGAGCCCCTGGAAAAGCTCCCCTGGCAGCAGAGAGGGGCTGCCCAGCTCCACTTTCCCATGGACCACAGTTTGAAAGTCCCTGGAGCAGAGGTTCACTCCCAGACCCCTCCGGGACAGCATCATTCCCTCCTCTCCCCGTGCCCAGACTCCCGAGACCTTTCCTGGTGCGTGCCAAGGTCCCGCTGAGCCCCTGGAAAAGCTCCCCTGGCAGCAGAGAGGGGCTGCCCAGCTCCACTTTCCCATGGACCACAGTTTGAAAGTCCCTGGAGCAGAGGTTCACTCCCAGACCCATTTCCCTGCCTCCGGGCAGACACCCAGCCCAGGGCAGCTCCTGAACCCATCTCCTCCTGCTTGCAGGTATTTTAGTTCCATCCAGAAATAGGGATGCGGGGTGGGATGCAAAGAGCCCACTTGCTCTCTCCTGTCCACAATACCTCAACACAAACAAAGCAACCAACTGTTACAGCCCTTGGGTTTTTCAAGGCAATAGACTCCCTTCTTCCAAAAGGAAGACCCCGACTTGTTCCCTGCTGCTCCACCTGGAGCAGAGATTAAATAAGTGGGCTCTGGAAAAATCCCTGACCCAGGAACAGCTCATTTTCCCCCCGCATCCCACCGCAGCACTTACTCCCGGGTCTGACCACAGCCCTCCAGCTCTGCCAGCCCTCCGACAGGAGCAGACAGAGCCTGTAGCTTAGCAACAGCCACCTACAGCCTCCTGTCACCGACTGGCACTTCGGATGAGCCGGGGGGGTACCCTGATGCTTCCCAGGGACCACCACACGGATGCTGATCCCCCTGGAAGGGGGTACCCCAGGCTGCACGCAGGGCAGAGGGACACGGGCTCTTGCTACTGTACCCCAGACTCATCCTGCCTGTGGCACACGTGTTTCTCCTCTAAATTCACGCCTGTTGTGTTCATCAGGGTGATGGAGGTGGCCCCAGATCTCCCTGGAAGGGGGTACCCCAGGCTGCACACAGGGCAGAAGGACACGGGCTGTTGGTACTGTACCCCAGACTCATCCTGCCTGTAGCACACGTGTTTCTCCTCTAAATCACGCCTGTTGTGTTCATCAGGGAGACAGAAGTGGCCCTTGGGGCACAGCCAGGGCCCGTGGTGTTATCTCAGCCCAGTACAGCACAGCATCCTCACAAACTCCTCATCTCCTCCTCAGGGTGCAGCCTGCCAGGACCAGAGCCTGCAGGGCCCATCTGAAGGAGAGATGAGTTCCCACCATCATATTAGTCCCTACATCTCCTCTGAAGTGTGAATTAGAGGAGGGCGATGGAAAAACATCGGTGAAACAGGTCTTGGACAACTGGGCTGAGATCCCTCAAAATCCCTTCACTTACAAGCCTGAGCTGGTGTGAAAACAAATGAGCCCAAGCAGGGCTGTTTATTTGAACTCACTCTCCCAAATAAACTTCAGCAGTCGGCTGAACATCATTTCTTGCCTAAAGAATGTGGTTAATAAACCCATAAATAGTCCTCGGGCTGTGACCCTCCAGCAGCAGGGCCCGCCGCTGGCACATGCGCACAGCCCCGGCACCGTGGGGCAGCAGGACAAAGCCACACAAAGCCACAATAAAAAGCAGCAGCAGGTCCAGCCCCACACTTTGCCTCTTCCCAGCAGCTGAGGAGAAAGGGGCCAACGACAGCCGGCATCACCAGCTGTGCTTCCCCCCTCCCTAAAATCCCCCGTCCCCTGATGGGCATCACCACCCGCAACCAGATCAGCTCAGGGATTTTTGCCTTGGCAGCTTAAGCAGCTCTGGACTCCCTCTTTCATGAATAATTTATTTTCTTTCCAGGTGAATATTCACGCTTTACCCCAGACAAATTCAGCATGGGCCAGCAAATTAGAAAAAGCAGAGCCAGCTCCTATTCCCAGCAGCGTGACAGATTTGGATCCCGACCTCCGAGAAGTGATCTTCCTGCCCTGTGCCTTCATTTCTTCAACTCTAAAGTGCAGCCCTGGGATGAGACACAATCAGCATCACTCAAACGTCTGACAGAAAAGCAGAACCTCATGGCTGGTGCCAGACAGTTTCTCTGCTGTCATCGAGGCCATCCAAAGCTCGGGCATAATTGTCTAAAATTGCTTAAAAATTCTTTTTCAACATACCAGCGCACAGAAAATGACTCAAAGCACTTGGAGATGGCTGAGCATCTCTGTGGAGCTCTGGGCAGGTCCTTCTTGAGTCCAGGCAGAGCAAAGACCTGCAAATTCAGCCCAGCTGTGGTCCCAGCCAGCAGGACCCAGCAGATCCAGCGCCGCCACCCTCAGCAGCAATAACGCAAGGCTCTGCCCGAATCCAGCTGCCTTAGCATATAAATAATTTGCTATTCTCCACTTTCACGCTCTTTAAAGAGAAAATCAAGGTCAGTGTGAAACATGGGACCCACAGCCTTTGTCTCTGTCTCTCCAGCATTGCCAGAGTCTCATCGAAGGCAGCGCCAGGGCTGCGCCGGAGCTGGGAGCCCTCAAAATGTGCTGACCCAACACCCCCCTGTGCTGCAGCCATGTTCTCCTCCCGGGCAGAGGGAATTATCACTTAATTATACCAAACAAATTGGAAGAATTAACATTTTTTTTTTCCTTAAACAGTTATATAAAAAAAATCGGAACAAATGGTAATTGCTTTTCTATCAGAGGAGACGGCAGGCGCGGTGCTGAGAGCCCAGCCCTTACCCTCACGGGACAGAACCCCCTCCTTTAAGAGCTCAGGGAGCAGCACAGCACCCACAGACACCCCCCAGGGGCTTTGCCAAGTGGCTACGGGCACAAAGAGCCCCCACAGCACCCACCCAGAGGGGGACAGGGCTGCAGTGGGAGAGGGGGATCTCCTGGTGTGTGGGGCTGAGCTCCTTGGGCTGGAACATCCATGCTCCCTCCGAGGAGAGACCGTTCCTCACCCCCCAGGTTACATCAGGCTCATTTTAGAGACCCCCTGGTTTAGTGGCATTTATTACCTGCAGTGATTTGTGATTTATTAGAGAGACACGCTGGTGGGTATTAAAGCCACAGACGGGCTGAGCAGGGGAGAGAGATCTCTGTGTGTGGTGCTGCTTTCCCTTTCCCCCTTTTCTCACCTCTCTCCAGGGTTTAGAAGTTTTGCTGCTCTGGGTTAGAGATGCCCTCGGCTGCAAAGGGCCAGCACAGGGCCCAGCTGGAGCCAAAATCTCCACACCCCAGCCATCCCCGTGTTCTTCAGGCTGATGCACCACCCTAAATCTCACACGGCAGCACCTCTGCACGAGCCCAGAGTGAAAAGGGGGCCTGTCACCTCCCCAAATTGAGGGAAATGCAAAAAGGCCCCAGGAGATGAAATGCCACGGAGATGCTCCCAACCCTTCTATTTTTAATGCTCCTTCTGAGGATATCCACCCTGAGATATCACTGTGCACACCCCCAGTCACACTCACACACAGACACACGCTCCCTCCAGGGAGGAACTCGGGGCTAGGAATGGAAAGAGATCCCCAATCCTCCCTCAGCCTGAGGCAGATACAAGTCACCATGAACTGATGCTTTACCACGGATGTTTAACTTGCTCTGAAAAGCCTCCAGCACTTCTGCAGCCCCAGCAGCAGATCACCACTGTGCCTCACAGAGCATCACCCGCTCAAACCCCTCACTTTGGGAACAGCCTTCATTTCAGGGACAGCACACGGGTCCAGGAGACAACCACCCTTCATCCTGGCATCCCATCACAAGTTCCCTCGGGCTGTACCCAGCCAGCCCTCAGCTTCCCCAACTTCAGCAGCATGATCCTGGGCTTCCATCACCAGATTTGGGGACGGGTCAGAGCCAGGACACCCGTCACAGCCCCATCAGGAGCTGTGCTCCCAGAACATCACTGCTCCCCATGTCATCTGCCAACTGCCAAACGCCCACATGTTCCTCGCTGTCACCAGGAGCAAGCTAGAACAGAGGCCAGCAGCCACCAGCCTGACAGAGAAGCCCATTACAGAAACTGCTGCCTTCAGGAAAAAAAAAAGCTCTTGTACTCACCGAAATGTCACGCCAGCCAAGCATGGGGCAGACCTGCCATTTGCCAGCCAAGGCAGGAGAAGGGGCTGCAAAGCTGAGCTGAAAACAGCCTGACATCCAGCCCAGCATCACCAGCCAGAGTGACAATTCCCACTGCTCTGGGGATGGGCGTCACAGGAGAGGCAGCATCAGGGGCAAGAAGATGCTGGAAATAGCACACAAAACCCGAGAAGAAATCACAGCTCCAGCTCCTCAGCACCAGGCAGGAGTGAGCAGCTTTGTCTCAGCTCTGCCTTGGCTGCCTGCGCGCCATTAAATAACGAGCAGGGAGAGATGACACAGCACAGACTGGATGGAGGCAGCTAAAAGGAGACAATTCAGTGCAGGGACCCCGTTTCCGTCCCAAGGAACACTCATAGCACAAGGCCAGGAGTGGGGGGACATGGAGAGGACATCCCCAGGAATTTCACCCCCTGCCAAGGAGGGGTGTCTGGCACAGCCCAGCTCTCCCCTGCCCGTGCCTGACTCTTCCCAGTACAATTCCAGGTTACCTGGGTGCTGGGAAAAGTGCTGCTCCAGGCACAGGATCCACCACACAGTTTGGGGCAGGGACCAGTCCTCTGGGGCTCAGCTCTTCTGCTCCCCAGGCCACCCAATGCCTCTCACCCACTCCGAGGGGCAGAGGTGCCAGGCAGGGGATGCCCAGGATGCTGGGCACAAGGACACCTTGCCTGAGATCTTCATCCCTGGCCTCCCCCAGGGCTGGGTGCTGAGTTCACCCACACAGGGAAGTTGCTTGTGGAGGTGGGACTCCACATCTTCCTCAAAAACCCCAAGGTAACCACCTGCAGCTGGAGCTGCATGATAATGGATGGAGCTGGATGATATCAGATCCCATATTGGCCTGAATCAGGGATTTTGTCAAGACAAAACCAACAGCAAGTGATGAGAGAGGAGGGGAAACACGGTGATAATTTTCTTTATGCTGTTTTGACCTACACTGGAAGTTAGCAGGACACGGTGCATCTCTGACAACACACTGAGAACGTGTCAGATATGGGAGCAGCTCCTAAATCTCTTCATTAATCATGGTAATTGAAAGGAGCTGCATTTCCTCCTAGAAGCATATAAATGTCATGGTGTAAGCACCCTCTGCACTATCAGATCAACATTAGCACAGTGTGAAGAGGCCCCATCCCCGTGGGCTCAGGCACCAACCTCTGCTGTAAATAAACGCTTCCTTCTTTCAGCAAAGATGCAGCCAACAAGAAACACAACATTCATGGGGGCAGATTTTCCAGAGCTTCCCCAGGAAGCTCTAAGGCCACATTTCTCCTGCTCAACACCCAGAAGGGAGCCATAAATCCCTTCATGGGATTTCTCTGGCTCATTTCTCTGCCACCCAACGAAGACATGTTCAGAGGAGCCCAGCACCCCAAAACCCCATCCTACAATAGTCCAGAGAGCTCAGCACCCCCCCAGACATGGGTCTCTTCAAACCCTCACCACTGATCCATGGTTCTGAGAGGCACCAGGGTGTATGGAGAAGTTTGGCACCTTTGTAACCCCCCAAGCTCCTGTCTCAAACTCTTGGTCTCCTTCAGGGTCCTACAAAACAACTACTTCTCCTGTGGTCACCTGCAGGAAGGTGCTACGTGACCTAACACCATTTCTGGTGACACTCAGACAGCCTTTTTATAAGCTTTGACTATAAGTTATAGTCCTTATATTCTATAAGCTATAGTCCTACCCCCCAAGGTCATGTAATACCAAGTCTGGATTTTCAGTTTCCTCCAACTTTTAAGCAGAAAATGCTTTAAAACAAACCTCTGAAAACCAGGGACTCTGGTGCCTTTACTTCTCCCTTGTTCAAACCCTGGCAGCTGAGGCTTTAAACAGAACATGCACGAAATTTTCAGTCTGGTATTTCTGACCTCTCTTCACACTGAATCAAGTTTCCTTGCCATAGTAACAGCTACCCAGAAAAATAACAACACCAAAAAAAAAATTCCACTAGTTCCCTGCCTTTCTCTGCAAATCACCCAGCTGGCAAAGGAGACTGCTTAGTTTTTATAAAGGAGAGAGAAAAAAGCCCTGCAATTGTTAAGAGAATTAATTGTACCAAGCAAAGAAAAAGCAGCAGAACTCACAAGCAGCTTGTTTCATCCCTTCAGCTCCTGAGCATCCCTCTGTGCAGCCGTGAGGACGTGGGGTTTGAAGGTGAAGACAGCCGGCTGTGCCCGCTCTGACCTCCCCCCCGGCATCACCCCTTCCCCCCAGTTACCAGCCCCTCGAGATCATTTCCAGCCTCATCAAGCCAAATGCAATTTCCTGCAGGTGCTAATAGGAGTGGGGCAGAGAGGTCATGGAAGGAAATGTTCCACAGCAAGAGCACAGCAATGGTGCATCCGAAGGATGCCAAGAGCTTTAGCTACGGGACAGGGAGAAAAGCCATTTCATTATTTTTTTTTGCACTCATTAGCACAAGGAAACATCCCAGACAATCCTTTTTTCCTGGGTGAGCTGAAGAGTCAGCAGAACAAGGTAAGATTTGTTGACACCACAGTTTGTTGAGAGAGAGAGAGTTATAATTTCATCAAGAGAAAAGATAACCCACCTGTGAGGCTGAAGGTTGCCCCTTCCCTGGTCCCACTCCCAGCAGCATCCTGTATCTCCCCTCTTGTCCCCCTGGCTGCCTCTGCTCTGGGCACAAACAGCTTTTTTTTTTTGCACGGGCCAAACACAGAAGGTCTTTTTCGAGCCCTGCAGTCTCGCTGGGTACATTTATAAAGCTGCTGTTTCTCCGTATTTAGGCTGCATCCCTCCGGAGGGAATGTAAAGAGCCTGGGCCAGATCTCAGCTGGGGGTAGCTGATGGCACACCCTCCCTGCTGCCAGGGCCTGGGCTGGGAGAAAGGCTGAAAATACAGGATTTGGGGACTATTGGGGAGGGAGGGGAAGAAAGAAAAACAAAAAAGAAGAAAAAAAAAAAAAAAAAAAAGGAAAAAACCCATCCTCCTTAACCCACTTTTTAGGGGAAAACCACAAACTCAAAGCTTTGTTTCTGGTTGCTCATTAAAATCCTGGCCTGGCACTGGGAGAAAGCTGTCCTCCTCCAAAGCATCCCCCTCCCTTGCCCCCTCCCCAATAACCCGCTGACCTCCAGCCAGAAACTCCCTCCCTCCTGCCCGGAGAGCCCAGGATCATGGATGTACTCACAGCTCCAGGGAAAGCCGCGCCGAGCCCAGGTGGAGCATGGCTCTCTGCTGGAAACCCTCTTCAACACCCAAATCCTGGGTACCCACAGAGCATCCTCCTCCTCCTCCTCCTCCTCAGCTCCCTCTGTGCCCCCCCTGCACCCCGCAGCGCTGGCGGGGGGGATGGCGCTGGGAGGGATGCGTGGGAGGGATGCTAGGGGAGGGGAAAAAAAGAAAAAAAAGAAAAAATCAACATAAATCCAGCCGCCCTAATCTTCACCCTGCCGGAGATGGAGGACAATTAGGAGGAGGAAGAGCGTTTCCCCATCTGGTCTTTGCCGGCAGCCGGGTTGTGTGTGTGTGTGTGTGTGTGTGTGTACACACTGCACTACCAGACCCAGACTTAAGCCTTTTATGGCTCCCCACGCTTGCACAGGATGTTCTGTGACGGCGGCTCCCCCCTCCCGCCCTGGAAAACAAAACTCCTGGAAAAGGGAGACAGACAGACAAAAATAGGAGCTGCCTGGGAGAAGAGGCAGAGCCCCAACGGTGCTGCTGCGGTGGGACTCGCTGTGGGTCCCAGTTGTGGGTCCCAGACCCCTGGACTAGGTCGAGCAGAGCTCTGGTGTGGACAGACAATGGACACGCACCCCCTGGGCACCCACACCCCAGTAACGAGGGACAGTGAGGGGGGGGTCAGGCAGCAGAGACCCCAGAGCTTCTGCCCCCTGCACCCCCAGCCCCAGATGTCCCCTAGAGAGAAGGTCCCGTGCTGAGGCTGCAGGGCAGTGTTGGGATGTGGGGCCCTTCGAGCCCTGGTCTTCTCCAGGGAAGATGTTCCCGAGCACACCACTTGTCCCAGACTTTCACCTTCTAGACCTGCTCCTCTAACTCTCCTCCTAAAGGTGTTGCAGAATAACTTTGCAAAAAAAAAAAACAGCTTCTAAGCAAAAGCCAAGAGAAAGATCCTTTCAGAGCATCTTCCATCCAGCTCCAAAGCTCCTCCTCAGAGCTGCGTTTGCAGTTCACCCCAGCAGATGTTTCTATTCCTTCAATAACCCCCGGAGCTCTGAAAGGCTCTGACACCCCCAGGGGTTTCTGCCCCTTCCAGTGTGGGGCTCGTGGAGCCTTCCCCACCGGCACAGAGCTCTGGGCACGGCCGGTACCGAGGCAGGAGCATCAGGTGCTCGAGCACTCAACAGCCTTTGAACCTGCAATTTCCAGAGCTGGAAGAGTCTCATGTTTTCATCTCTCATCTCTGGTGGCCACCTCCCTGCAGCCTGGACCAGTGACAATCCACAGAGGTGGCGGGAGAAGGTTTAAAATTCAGCCCTGGCTTGCAAAAGCCCCAATTCAGGCCCATAACGACCCAGACAGGGTTTATTCTTGCCAGTAGCTCATGCTGGTTGAGATAGGGAACTATTTAAAGCAGCTCTAGCCATAAAATAAGAAAAATGAGGAAATCAACAAGAAGTTGAGTCAAATGACTGTACATAAAGCAAATTCTCATCCCCTACCAGCTATTTTAATCTCCTGTTAGCTTTCCGGTGGGAGGATTCAATTTGCATTTAAATAAAAACCTCAAGCGCAGGGCCAATCTAACATTAAGATGTTCATTACAAAGGCATTCACCTCTTAAGAAATTTTAAAAGACCCCATCAAACTAGATTTTAACAGAGGGGCTATTAGCAGTCTGGCGTTATTGGACACTTAGTATTTGTAAGTTATTATTATTTACCAGACTGTTTACAGAGGAGTCCAGGCAGCCCTGAAGGAAGGTTTCCAGCAAACTGCTTACAACCCAGGAGGTAAAAAAACCATCACAAAAGGTGTTCTCAAAGCACTGAAGAGCTGCCTGCAAAAAGATGAGTTTCTCAGGGGCAGGAGGAGGGGAAGGGGAGGCTGCAGGATGCAGGGAGGGCTGCTGAGAGGAGCTGATGCTTGAGCCAGGGGTTGGCAGCTCCTCTCCATCCCCACAATAAACCATGGGGCTCCCGTGCTGGGAACCAGCTCAAAGCTGCCCAGCAATGGGTGACCCTCATGGAGGATGGTGGAGAAGGGGCTGTGACAGACCACAGCCAGCCCTTGCAGCTGTATTACACAGCAGGTTCCATTTTAAAACTGGTGGTACACTGTGGTTTACAAACCCCACTGAAACACAACAGCAGGCTGGTGTTTCAAACCATCCAGGAGCTCCTGCATCATGGACTGGGGTCCCAACAGGACACTGGGTTTGGCCTCAGGTGGGTTTTTGTTTGGCTGGTTTAGATTTATTTTTATGTGGGTTTTTGTTGGGTTGGGTTTTTTACATTGCTGTTTGATCTCCAGCCCTTCATCTCCTTTTCATTTCCCTTCCTGCTTTTTGTCTGCCTGTTACTCCCGTTGTTTGGTGGCTGCAGTTGGACTCCCCACATTCAACACCTCGTGAGAGGGGTTCTCGGGTCAGCCAGGGCATCGGCTGGTACCAAAACCATGATGGATTGTGATAAAATAGGGAGCAGGGATGGTGTAACACAGAGCAGAGCCCTGGTAGAGCTCTGCCAGGAAGCCTTGATAACCCCTGCCCTCATAGTCCTACGTACCCGATGCTATTAACTAGTATGAAGATGAAAGAGTATTTGTTTCATTAAGCATTTAATTCACCCCATTAAAAACAAAACGACAAAGTAAACCCAAGAGACCCCTTGCTGACCTTTCACTTGCCAGCATCCTTTCTTGGATCAATGCAAGCAGCCTGCCCTTCCCACCACAAACAGTCTGCGCCGCGCCAACACCTGCAGAACACCAGAGAAAGGAGAGATGAAGGCAGGGGAGGAGGGTGGGTTTAAATGGGATAAAAGCGTGGAGACAGGTAGGGCAGCTTGGCCATAAAGCCCCAGGTGTTGGGTCCCCGACTGCCTGCTGGATGAGTCAGACCTGACGGGCTGGAAAATAACTGTCTGTCTGGGAAGGATGGAGCTTGCACAACGCGCCACCGAGCCCTCAGCCCTCCCCGCACAAAGGCAGGCGTTGGCTTCCCTCAGCAGATGCTTTTTGAGCAGTGAAAATTGCACAGCTCTTCACCCCAGTGGCCAGAGAGCCTTTCCCAGGGCACAGGGAAGGTGGGGATGACAACACACACACTCTGGTACCCACCACCGGGCTGGGAGGAGGAGGAGGAAAGTGGATTCTTACCCTCCTCCTGATGGCACCTTTTCCCAGCAGAATCTTGCTTGCCACCAAGGAGACCTCTCGGGATACCTTGAAGAACCTACAGGACAAGGATGTCCCGGGGACACTCCCTATTTGTGCCTTAAAAAGGGAAAAGAACTTTTCCAGGCTGCTTGGAAATGATACAGGAGATGTCACCGCAAAGGAAGAAAAAAAGAACTAATAATCCTGAAAACCTGTAGCAATTCAACACCTGTTTCCATGGGAACAGCAGGAGAGTTGCAGGAATTCCTGCAAATTACACAAATAAGCCAGACAGCAACACTTTATTCTCCTCTCTCTCACCTGCGTTGCTTCGGGTTGAGCCAACTTGATCCCAGGAGCGCTCTTGGCCGGACGCTTCTCCTGAGCGTTTGGGAAAGGCACATCAAACCACAGGGAGCAGGCCAGGAGGTGAGAAAATAAGGAAAAAAGCAGCAAAAAGCACCCCCAGAAGCCCAGTGAAAGGCTTTGCTTTTAGAAGAGATCAGGATGTTATAGATTAAGGGGAAAAAACATACAAAAGGACCGAGACCTGCCCGTGCACCTCTCTGTGCCAGCAAGGGCTGGAGCACACAGCCCACCCCCGTCCACAGGAGACCTGTGTTAGGAGAGCAATGCAGGGGGACTAGAGACAGCATTCCATCTCCCCCCGTCATTTCTTCCAGAGATCTGGCAACCTGACAGTTAATTAACTAGTTAATTAATTAATTCTCCCTCCTGCAGGGCCCTGAGCTGGTTACAGTGCAGAGAGTCGCCTTAATGCGCGGAGACAGGAGCCAAGAGCTGGGGGATCTCTCCATCAGAACATTTAACCCACGGGGAGAAGTCCACCAGCTGTGGCTGCCCGTTCGACAAACACGGAGCGACATCGTTTCAGGACAGACAGGCACTTTGAAGAGACAGTTGCTGGGAAAGAAAAAAAAAAACAACACCACAATAAACCCCTCCTCATACAGTAACATTCAAAATTAGCTACAGTTAGCAGAATTTCAGCAGCAGCATGGAAGAGCTTTAAGCTGTCTGGCCGGTTCGGCTACGGGGGCATCTGGCTTTGCATGCTTTTTATAAAAACAGAGGATAAGTGGGGAGAAGTCCACCAGCTGTGGCTGCCCGTTCGACAAACACGGAGCGACATCGTTTCAGGACAGACAGGCACTTTGAAGAGACAGTTGCTGGGAAAGAAAAAAAAAAACAACACCACAATAAACCCCTCCTCATACAGTAACATTCAAAATTAGCTACAGTTAGCAGAATTTCAGCAGCAGCATGGAAGAGCTTTAAGCTGTCTGACCGGTTCGGCTACGGGGGCATCTGGCTTTGCATGCTTTTTATAAAAACAGAAGATAAGTCTATGTTTATATACAACTGGGGAAAAAAAAAATAGCTGTTTGCTCCCAGGAAGACACATGGGAAGAGCCCATCTCCACGCAGGGAGACCAGAACACTGAAATAAAGCAGGGCTTTGCTGCTATCACAACCTGCATCGCCTCTGCGCTCACCAAGAGTGTGTTTCTTATAAGGGAAGATCTCATCTGACCAAAAGTCAATCAATTCCATAGCACAGGGTACAAAGCCCCTCGGGTTTTCTGCAGAGCACGTCCAGCCTGAGCCAAAGGGACTTCGAACGGCGGCGTTTTGTTCTCTGGGCTTCAAAGGGAGCGAGGGTTAATCATTCACGGAGCAGGCAGCGATAAGAGACAGGAGCAGGCTGTGTAAAGAATGGATTTGAAAAGGGGGATGTGGGGAAAAGACGTCAGTGTATAATTCTGGTTTTCTATAAAAGAAAGAATATTTTTAAAGATTCTGGTGAATTAACTCCTGATCCACCCCAAAAATTTTCATTTAAACCGCAGAGAAGATTGGTTTTCTTTCATCTGGGGGTTAAATGTTGAAGTATTTTGTGCTTTGAAAAGGAAAAAAAACACAACAAAACACCAGTTTGAAAAGGAACCTCCTGATCCACCCCAAAAATTTTCATTTAAACCGCAGAGAAGATTGGTTTTCTTTCATCTGGGGGTTAAATGTTGAAGCATTTTGTGCTTTGAAAAGAAAAAAAAAAACCCAAAACACCAGTTTGAAAAGGAAATGTTTTCAGAAGTCGTGATGCTTTGTTTCAAAGGCTGCCATAATGAAACATTTCCATTTCTCAGAATTTTCCTCTTTGCTTTGCTGATCCTCAAAGCTGAGTTGTTCACGGGCCAACATATTAATCTGTAACAATGTACTTTTGCCCAATTCTCCCTGGATTAAGAAGTTCTATTCTTGGCTCTGTCACATGAGGCTTTTGTGACAAGGCACTGAAACCCTCCGTCTGTCCATCCGCAGGGATTCATTTCCAGCTTGGCTGGGCCATGGCTGCTTGGCAAGGACCTCTGACCAGTGTCTCCCTCCTGGGTTCCCCTGTTCCTTGTAGAGTGGCTGCAAAATACCTTCTGCTCCTCCAATATCTTAAGGAATGCAAGGAAAGCCAGCAAAGCCAAGGGAAGGGACAAGCAGACCCCGAGCTGCTCAGATCACTGCAGCAGTAGAGAAAAAAACATCCCCAGGATGATTTTCCTTTCCAGGAAGGAAGATGAGATTCTCTCCTCACCCATCTAACCCATCTTCTGTAGCTTCTACTCTCCAGACATCTCCCAGCCCCAGCTGCTGCCCATCCTGGGGGGTCTCTGAGAACACAGAGACACATTACAAGAAAGTGGACTATGATGTGAAACTGGAGCCTTTGGCACAGGAAGGACGTGGACCTGTTGGAGCAGATCCACAGGAGGCCGGGGAGATGCTCCAAGGTCATCTTCTGTAGCTTCTACTCTCCAGACATCTCCCAGCCCCAGCTGCTGCCCATCCTGGGGGGTCTCTGAGAACACAGAGACACATTACAAGAAAGTGGATTATGATGTGAAACTGGAGCCTTTGGCACAGGAAGGACGTGGACCTGTTGGAGCAGATCCACAGGAGGCCGGGGAGATGCTCCAAGGGCTGGAGAGTTGGGGGGGTTCAGCCTGGAGAAGAGAAGGCTCCGGGGAGACCTTAGAGCCCCTTCCAGTCCCTCAAGGGGCTCCAGGAGAGATGGGGAGGGACTCTGGATCAGGGAGGGGAGCCACAGGACAAGGGAGAAGAGTTTGATCCTGAAAGAGGGGAGCCATAGGACAAGGGGGAAGAGTTTGATCCTGAAAGAGGGGAGACCTGGAACCAGATGTTCTTTACAGTCCCCTCCAACCCAAACCATTCTGTGATCCTACAAACCCTGGCCCAGGTTGCCCAGAGAAGCTGTGGCTTCCCCATCCCTGGAGGGGCTCAAGGGCAGGTTGGAGGGGGCTTGGAGCAACCTGCTCTGGTGGGCACACCTGGAACCAGATGTTCTTTACGTCTGGTGGGAGGTGTCCCTGCCCAGGGAACACCTGGAACCAGATGTTCTTACGGTCCCCCTCCAACCCAAACCATTCTGTGATTCTACAAAGTGACCTCACTGCTACAGCCCCTCTGCTCTCCCCTGTTTACCATCCCTTTTGCTGTCATTACTCTCCCAGAGCTATTTCTGCCAAGCACACATCCTCGCTGACAGGTCTCTAGCGGAGAAGGCTGCAGAGCACAAAATTAGAGACATGGGGGAGAAAGCTTCTGAGAGCAACCTGCCAGCCCTCAGCGGGGGCTCGGGGGGGCAGGGGAGGCACGGGGTGCCCCCTTCGCCCGAGCTGCAGGGCAGGGGTGAGCTGTTAAACTGGAGGAGGTGGGTGGTAATGGGATGTCAGCTCATCAGTATTCCCACCCACGCTTTCAAGGGAATTTAACAAAGCAGGGTAAGAGGGGCTGGGGGCAAAGAGTGAGAAGTGAGACAGTTCAGGCGAGAAGAGGGAAAAAAAAACCACCTTGCAAAGCAGTAACAAGAACAAATATTTCCTCTGGTGCCATCTGAGTGGGGGCCAAGTCCTATTCTCCTTTAGATCTAGAGATGCCACATGTGGAGGGCAAAAATCCCCATGAGTGATGCGCTCCATAAATCCCACCCTACTGGAGTTTTCTCTTATGGGGAAGAATAGAAACACACATGGGTTTTCTACTTCCTGGACAAAAAGGAAATTCCAGACCAAACCATTTAACTTAAATCCCTCCTTTAGGGCAAGATCTTCTTGCTCAGTTTTAAGTATCATCATCTTTCCTCTGCAGATGATGCCACAGGCAGATTTCATCCTAAATGCCAACAACTGGAGCTGGGTTAAGACACAGAGCCGTCCCCACCCCAGCCCCACAGGGACACAAAGCAACATTTGCCAAGTTTAGCAACCTATGGTTGGAAGTTCCTACCAGCACGTGACCCATGAGTGTGCCTTGCCTTCATCCCAAGGACCCACAGCCCTGTCAAAGAGATTTAAAAGAAAAGCCCATCAGTGCTCTCAGGCACTACCATGTTATTAAACACAATGCTTTTATGGTTCCACCTACTGTAACATCTGAATTTCTAAGAACTGACAGTTTCAGCGAGGGGCAGAGCCCATTCCTACAACAGCCTGATCTAAAATTGCTTCCCAAGGATAGGGAAAGCCTTTAGCATTCTAGGAAAATGGCACCCTCTTTCTTTTTCTTCTCTAAATTCCCAGATATAGCAAGAACTACCTGAGACTGCACAGAGCTGAGCTCGATTTGTTCACCAGGTCACTTGATGTCACACGCTCCAGGCTCGGCACAAACCCCTGTGATCCCCAGCACCAAGCAGGGCCAGACACAGCAGGACTCTCTGAGGTCCATTGTTGCAAATCTTATTGTGACCCCTTACATCACCCATGCTCTAAGTGTAAAGTAATTTCATATAAAAAAAAAATCATTAAAAAAAAATCAACTCAATCACCCAACACAACACTTTGCCTCCACACTAGTTTTAGAGCAGAACAGTAAATAACTATTCATCACCTCTGTCAAAATAAAGTGGATTCAGACCTCAAACTCGCTAACTAAAACTAGACAAACCCTGTAACCTCTGGGAAGGCAGTTCTGTCCTCTCCCACGTGTCCTCCTAATAGCACAGAGAGGCAAACCCAGCAGGGTGAGCTGCTCTAATGTGAGATGTGTAGGACACAGGAGCTATAAGAGAGCAATAGTTCTTTCAACATCTGTATTTCCAAATGAATTAATGGATCTGTTTTCGAGGTGACAAAGTACACTACCTGTGTAGGGTTTTACTTCAAAAAAAGAAAATCCTGCTGTATTTGGAAGTGTCCCACTGTATCACAGGGTGACCAGTGGCTTTATCCTACCAGCCCCAGTACAGTCCTTGATAATCCCTTTTGTACACAGCAGGCGAGAACAGAGCAGCACTGCATCCTTATTTTCTTACCTTGAATCTCAGCTACTGCTGTTAGCCAAGAAAACAAATTTAGTTGGTGAATATATTAAAGATAGCTCCCAAAAAAAAGGAGATTCTCCCTTCACCTATAATTTTCAGTGGCTGGATTGAGGCTGAGAGCAGGAGTGTGAGATGGGGTGGAATGGGGCACAACCTGCCTTCTCCTGGAGCAGACAATATCTACATGATGTTTATTTGTTTTGCTGATCCGTTCAATAAAATGAACAAGCACAATGTGTGCTAAGCTGGCTCCCCAGGGAAGGAGGATTGGATTCTGCTCCACTCTGCCTCCCTCCTTTCTGCTGAGCTGGAGGAGCCTTGGCACAAACTGAGCTTCTGTGGGGGTGGGAGAAGCAAATCCACTATTAACAAGACTTACAGCTCAGTACAATTGTCTTGAAGAAGGTCAGGCAGTAACAGAGACTCGGTACCACCACCTGAGGCTGGGAGGAAAACAGGGGTAACTGCCCTTTTCAACAAGCCCAACAAGTTTGTCTCCTGTGCTACACAAGAACCAGAATGGGAATTTCTTTTCCCAGTGTGGCTTAAACTGGAGCACCTGATGTGCCCACGAACCTGGTTTAATTCTCCATCTCTTATTATTTTTAAGATGAGTGATAGGAACATTTGCCCTCTAAGTATTTATATCAAAGAAAAGACAATAAAACAGTGCTGGGCACTAACACTCTTATTTCATATCACATACCAGAACAGCACACGTCCTACAGCCCCAGCGTGTTGAAGAGCAGGACATTAAAGGTTTTGTTAGCCATTGCCGGGAGGATTTTAAAAAAATAATAATCATAGAATGGTTAGAATTGGAAGGGACCTTAAAGCCCCCCCAGTGCCACCCCCTGCCCTGGGCAGGGACACCTCCCACCAGAGCAGGTTGCTCCAAGCCCCCTCCAACCTGGCCTTGAACCCCTCCAGGGATGGGGCAGCCACAGCTTCTCTGGGCAACCTGGGCCAGGCTCTCACCACCCTCACACCAAACAAGTTCTTCCCCACATCTCAGCTCCATCTCCCCTCTTTCAGTGTCAAACCCTTCCCCCTCCTCCTAGGGCTCCCCTCCCTGATCCAGAGTCCCTCCCCATCTCTCCTGGAGCCCCTTGAGGGACTGGAAGGGGCTCTAAGGTCTCCCCGGAGCCTTCTCTTCTCCAGGTTGACCCCCCCAACTCTCTCAGCGCCCCCCCCAGCAGAAGGGCTCCAGCCTCTGGAGCATCTTCATGGCCTCAGTTTTTAAGTCACTGCTCAACACGGCTTATATCATGAGGACACTGTTTTTATTTTCTTCCCAGGATGAGGTTTATGAGCAGACTGGTTGGATTACCATCCATTAACTACAGGCACGAAGATGACAAACACAGAGATGGCAAATACCACGATCCACGCAGCCACAGGTATCAAACCTTGAGTGTTCCCTTCCTGTGCTGCTTCTGCTGGAAGAAGGGAAGAAGAAAGCAGCAATGTCTCTTTCTCCACTGAGGCATCTTCATGTTCTTCTGAGCTGGTGACTGCTGCCTCGCTTTCTTTGGACTCCTCCTGCTGCATCTTTGAGGAGAAAACAAAGAGTTGCTCCAGGTAACCTGACTTCTCATTGCTGACCTTACAGAGCCAACAGCTGTTATCTTTTAGGGATGGAAACCTACCACTGCATGTGAAAGGAATCTTGCATTTAGGGCAGAATAAATTAAGAAAAAATAATTTAACAAAATGAAAACACAAACCAAATCTTCTGGTTATAAAACAAGAATCTTTTGAAACTAACCCACGCGGGGACGGCTGACGAGGTGGGGTGGGGACCAGCAGCATCGGTGGCAGATTTAAACCCCCATTGGTCAGTCTCCGAGACAAATGGCTCTGGTGCCGGCGCATCTGCAGCATCCAAAGCTTCACTTTTCTCCTGTGAAGAGATAATAAAAGGCTTCAGCTTGATCTTAACCCCCAAGTCATTTCAATTTAAGTGTCACGATCTATGAGAACATCACACACAAAATTAGGTCCTCTTGGCATGAAGAGTGGCAGCCAACAGTGGGAGAGACTCATTTCCCCCCCTTTCAGTAACACTTACAGACTTGAAGGGGCAAAAATGTTTGTTTCCCCACCCAGGTTAAGATATAGTAACTCCTCCCTTGATCTCTCATGGCTTGCATTAAGCTAGAGCCAGTACCTGCCTTGCCAGCTTGGCAAGCAACTTCTTCCCTGCATTTAATATCTGCTGCTTCTCAAATACAAGACACCCAGAGCCCAGAGAAGCTGTGGGTTCTCAGCAACACAGTAATCCCACCCACAGGCACCTCAGGAAAAACCAAGCCACGCAGAACTCCAAGAACCTCCGTGCAAATAAAACTCCCTGAGGGCACAAAACCTGCCAACTCGGCTTCAGCAAAGGAGCAGCAGAGTAGCAAGTCTCATTTCCAAAGATTGGGAACTACTGTAGGCAGGGAACTCCAGGCAAAGTCAAGTCACAGGCTGTTTTCACCCTCCTACTGGCCTTCAAACTCACTGCCTGAAGAGCTTGTTCACAAGCAGCAGGGAGAAAAAAAACCCACATTCTTCAGTTTTGCAGTCACTGCTCATGTCATCAGGACCTTGCTTGTATGTTCTTCCCGGGATGAGGTTTACAAGCAGACAGTTTGGATTAACAACTATTTATTAAACACATGAGGATTACAAAAACAGAGACGGCAAATACCGCTATCCACAGAGACATGGGTATGAAACTGTCACTGCTCTCTTCCTGGGCTGCTTCTGGGTTCTTCCTATCTTCCAGCATCAACGTCTCTTCTACCACTTCAACTGTCTTCAAGGTGTCCCATGCTCGTGACCGCCGCCTCGCCTTCCTTGGACTTCTCCTGTTGGATTTATGAGGGGGAAAAAAAAAATAAAAAAAATCAAAAGTTGCTTCAGGTAACCTGAATTCTCATCGCTGACCGTACAGAGCCAACATCTGTTATCTTTCAGGGCTAAAAACCTACCATTCTTGCAATTAGGGCAGAATCAAAAAAGAAATTCAATAAAACAAAAGCACAAACCGAGTCTTCTGCTTATAAAACAACAGTCTTTGGAAATTAAAGCAAGTGCCACCTTTGTGCAGCTGGCACAGAGGGATACCCTAATGCCACTCACCCTCATACTGGGCAGCAGGATTACCTGGGGAAAGGTGTCTGGGATATGGCAGGCAAGGAATTAATGAGAATGGCATTCTGGGACATGCCTGCTATCTGCTGCTGCAGAACTGACAGCACAGTAGCACCAGAAGCCTACTTTTCTAGGTAGCCTCTAGCTGAAGGAAGATCTATGGGTCAGGACCCCTTTTCATTCACATATTCCCATGCTGGAAAAAAAACCCAAACCACTTTGATGAGGTTCTAACAGCAGCAGGAGACAGTCTCCCAGGGTTCCCTCTTCTGTCCATGCAAAACTCCGAAGAATAGGAGTGTATTTTCACAAAGCTCTAAAAAAAAGAGAGCTCAAGCCTGAAAGAGACTCTAAGGAGTCTGCAGAGACTACCCTGCTTTCAGCATCGAAGCAGTACATTGCAAAAAGGCCACCCACATTTAGCACCGACCTGAAGTTCAACCACTAAAGGAGGTGCCCCTCTCCCCCCCATTGTTAATATCTCACTTTAATGCACTCTTGATACAGGTCTATTGAAACGGTGTCCCCTCAGCCAGACAATGCCTTTGTAAGAAACCTGTTTTTTTTCTGAGCATCAGAAAGAGCTGTTCCAACTCTGCACAGGCGTCCCTTTTGCTCAGACGCCGAGAAGGGCAGAAGCTGCTGAAGGGCCTGGCAGGTTCAGCAGCACAAGGTGGTTTCTTTGCTGTCATGCTCACATGGCTCACAGGAATCCCAGGTGAAACTCAAAACATTCCACTTAAGGCACTCTTCAACTTTAAAAAGGTCTTTTTTTTTTAATCTAGTTCCAGAATCTTCTCCGCTAGCATTTTCTTTTCTAAGCAAGAATTTCTAGAACTCCTGAGCTTTCAAAGACTTTCATCTGCAGATAACCACGAGGGGAATTCTCCAAAACGGGAAAATAAGCCAAAGGGAAGGTGGCTTTTGACAAGAGGAAGACGGGTTAAATGTGTGGTACCTGATAACTCTGGGAGGCAAAGCAAAAGAAAAGCAAATTTACCCTTCATCTTCGTCAGTCTCATCACTAGATGTCCCACTCATCTGATGAAAAAAGAAAGTATGGTGAGAGATTCAATGAACTTAACAACAAGTTTGTCATTTCTAGCAAGCAAAGCTACTGAACAAGCTGCAGATTGCTCCAGCAAGGCCACCTTAATTCCAAGGGGGAGGATGCTTCACCTTTTGAGGTCCTGGTGTTACCAGAACAACACTAATGAGAAAGAGTAAATTCACAGCAGTCTCACAGTGATGGTGCCCAGACATGAGAAACATCATGTTACCTCTCGATGAAAAGTGATTCAGTGAATAGACACTGCCTTGAAATAATCCCATTTAAAGTGAATTGTTCTACTGGAGAAAGAAAAAAAAAGTCTTTGGGAAGTACATAAAAATCACCAAGAGATTAGGTTAAAGCAAAGGCTGGTTGCCTGCAGTCTACCCTGTCTAACACGGATGCCTCCGGAATATTAATTGATGTTCAGTATATCATTGCACTCTCATCCACCATTTTCTCATCCTGCTGGAAAAAGAAATATTACTTGAAACTGATTTATTGCGCAAGTCGGTACGTAATGCACAATAAACAGTATTTTGCCTCTGGACACACCATCTAATCACAGCAGCTCAACAAACTCATCTTCATGCAAGGGAAACAGTGCCGAAGTCAACGTCCCCGTTACATTAATGCTCCAAGGCCTCACCCAGGACCAGAGCCCCACTGTGCTGGAGGCCACCAAGAGACAAAAGTCTTGTGCCAACAAGACCAATGGCCATGCCCTGCAAAGGCTTAGCCACCACCTTGAACGTTATGCCCCCATTTCTAGGGCAGAAGCCTGAGTACTCTACTTTTCAACGGATGATGTGTAATCTTAAAGGTAAGTAAGAGCTTGGGCAAAAAGTTCAACTCGGAATCTCCTGTTTCAAAATGATCCACGGCTGAATTTTAAATGTGGAATGTATCTTACAAGTACATCAAAGTTCCCCTAAATATTCTCTTCAAAAGGGAATACCGTCTTCTTTAAGATAGCCATCTTCTGGGTTACATGCTATGCTGGGAAGGAAGTGGAATGCCTCCAGGGGAACATCTGGCCACCCTGCCAGGATTCCTGCGGGATGAGCAAGCTCATTGACTCAGTTGACTCAGGATCCTTGCACTGCACTGTAAATTGCACATGAGATCCATTCAGATAAGATGGCAGATTTCTAAGCTTTAGATTGACTGAGACACCAAGGGATGTGCTTCTGTACTGCTGCATTAGTCAGAGAAATGAGATTCCGTGACTAATCATCTGGATGGGGCACTACTAGCCTGAGGGTTGTATCTGGGGAGTGTTTTGTGCCCAGAGGAAGTGCAGGGAGGTGACTATTGTAGTTTAACAATGCCATCATACCCTTTTCCTGCAAACAGCCTTCCGAGTGGTGCCGCAGGGACCGCTGCTGGGTGAGCTCTCTTGTCCCCACGCCTGGTCTATCGGCAATTCATCCTCCAGCAATATTCGTTCTACCTGTTAATATTTCAAGACAGGTTGTGGGTGTGTAATTAAAGCCTCTCCTCACGAGCTACCACAAAGTCTTGAAGGCCCTACAGCACAGACCATGTTCTCCTCATCCATATTGATTTAAAGGAGAAACTTCTTACAATTTTTCCACCTGTGACAAGTCCACACACACACAGTTACAACGTTAAAGTTGATTTAAATGCATGTAACTAAAAGCCTGAAATAATTTACATTCAATAAGTAAGGAGCAAAGCAATTCTCAAGATAGCTTGTACTTTATCACTAATTAGTCATCCGATACGCACTCTACTTTTAATTAGCAATCTATCTAATTCTTTTCTATTTAAAAATCTAATATATTTGAGAGAGATGGCCCATCATAAAGGGGCATCATTTTTCATTTCTGTGGGCTGCTAGTTTCATAATTTCTCTGATGAACGTTTCTAGTATGCACTGAAAGCTACTAAACCATCCAAATAGCTGGGGTACAAGTAAGCCCAATTTAATGATCTATTGCTACAAACGGACCTGGTTTCCTTTAATAGTCATTGCTAGAAAATCCCAATTAGGAGACAGCAAACAGTGATGGAAACTCAATTTAAGTTCACTCCCAGATTTAGGGGTTGCTAGATGGGAAGGCATAATAAGATTAATGTGTAACAAGAAGAGGTACTTCCCTCTGCTATCATCTCAGCCAGGGTGCAATCTACATCCTGCAACAGAAGCTTCATGTGACATTCAATTTGTTCCAGGTGTGGGAACTACAAGCAAAAGAGAAAGGAACAGGGTGGGCTGAGGAAACACCAACGACTTTCACTACGGTATTAAAGGTCAACACAATTTCCAACGAGATAATGAGAAAGCACTTCTTCTGTGCAGCAGCTATGGAACAGCGAGCTTAACAAATACTCTGTCCCCTTACAAAAGAAAGCTCAAGAAAGTGGAAGGCAGGCCATAGAAAGATGCTGTAATTAACTGATTGGAGATAATTGCTGCATTCCTCACCAGCTAATACAAAGAACATCAGTGTATATCAACTTGCAATTTCCTTCATTTAGTGGTGGTACATAAAATATTCATGCATTAGCAGATTACTTACCTCAGCAGAGCCAGAGGCAAAGTCTGCTGTCATTTCGAAGGTTACTTCATAACTTTCGTCTGAATGAGGAGAAAAGGGGAAAAAAAAAAACAACCCAGCCTTAAAATACAAGTGAATTAGCCCGAGGTATCTACACCAGGTTGCATTATTTAATGCTTTAAAAAGCTACAGTTTGGTACATCTTTACAAATGGCATTGCTTAATTATTCCCTCTTGCATTCCCTGGTCCATTCTTTGATGACAGATGTGGCTCAGCCACACGTGGAAATGGCTCGAGCTGCCTCCAGGCCAGCACCCACGGAAGGTGGAGGGACACAACCAGAGCCAGTGGCAACAAACAGAGCTCAGGATACAACCACATTTGAGTTTCTAAGCTAAAAAAGTGGTTAAAATGGTTAAGAGCCCAGTCATCTGTTGGGGTCACATACAAAAAAACCCCAAGTGAACAGTCACTTCTCCAACCCCGCAGCTCAACCCAGTAGAACCAGTAAATAATCTTCTCCTTTAAACCATTTTCAATCGTTACACAAAGGAGCTGTGTTTGAACCAGCTCTGCTTTTGTTATGACAGCTGCTATACTGTCAGATTAGCCCAATGCACAGCTGTTGGCTTAGTGTTTTTTTCAAAACATGTCTAAACCGCTCAGGATTTTGGAACTTTTTTTTTTTTAATATATTTTAAACAGCAACAGAAATCACCCCGCCAAGCTAATTGCTTAAACAAAGCTGGATATTCATTACAGTCCGTAGAATAAATGGGAAGTTTGGCTTCATCTTTGAAGAGAACTTCAAAGGACGTAACAATAAAGAAAAGGTGGGGGCAAAACAGCTTTTAGGACTGAGGAACTCCCCAAAAGGCTTTCTGAGATTAAAACACAGAATGTTCTACTTGAGTAAAAAGAATAAAAATCCCTTTCAGCTCCGATTTTTTCAGAATATTATGAGACCTTTGAAACAGGTCCCCCCACTTCAGCCTCTTCATTCCACCTCCTTTATCTGTTCATCCCGAACGCTTCTGCAGCAGGATTTTATTTTTCTTTTCCTACAACTCACTGACGTGACCTTCATTTAGTTTATGCTTTCGGGGCTGAAGGTATCGCATTCAGGGATGTCAGTTAAAAAGAAGTATATCCATACAGATTAAATACAGTCAAGCAATGCTACCGAACTAAAAGGTAGATTGCCAATGTTTATTTGATGTATCATAAAAGGGAAAAGGCGTGTAAAATCCACAAATCAAAGATGAGTTTTGTTGGGGCTGTAGGAACTCAATAGGTTATTTTCAGCAATGCTCCCGCAGCACATTTCCATATATATTACACAGACTAAATGAATCATTTCTAGCACAGAAATATTGTGCATGACTGCATGCAACAGCTGCTCCTTCATGCATTGCTCTCTTGTGACCTGATTTTGATTATAACATTTGCCATCCCGATTGCGAGGGGAGGAACAGAAATAAAAAAACCTCCAGGGATCAGAGACTTTTCTTTAAGGAGCCGTTTGTTTTAAGGAGCAAAATGGCCTGAAGTCACACCTCATTTGCTTCCCTTTAAGAGGATGGAGGCTTCAGATCTGCTCTTTAATGCCTTTCTAGATTGTTTTCTGGAACAATACTCTTTCCTCACTCCACGCTGGTAAGTAAAGTGATTGGGACAAGATAAAATGAAACTACCTCAGTGACATTCACATACCCTTTTGTCTCTATTTCTATGAGCCACAGGTAGGAACCTGTCTCACGGGACACAAAAATCCAAGTCCTAGGTATAGACAAACATCACTGGCAAACACTCAGGTGAAAGGTGGGTTAGAAAGATGAGGTTTAATATCAACAAGAGCCACTTCAGCATCAGCACTCCCTTCATCAGCACCTCACCAAATATTGGCAGTCTTCCCATTTAATTTCTCAACGTCTCCTGATGAAAGTCAGGAGGAAGCCTCCGGAGCAGCCCGGGGAAGGCTGGCAGAGGAGCCCGCGTTACAGCAGCGAAGCTGTTCACCCCCTGGCACCCCTTCAGGACCCTCCATTTATCAGCCAGCAAAATATGGGAAGAAAAAAAAAAAAGAAGGGCACTGCCCCCCACAGATCACGGTGGGAACAGACCACGCAGATTCCAGACCATGCCATAATCCATGTATTCACCTTCACATCCAGTTTTTCTCAAAGAAAAATAAAAATCACCTAACACAGCACATCTGACAAGAAGTTCTGTCCCACCAGTGTCATTCTTGCACAAAATATTGAGACCTTACCAAGCTTAATGAGATAATCACTCTCTAGAAGGACCACTTCAGCTCCAAGCACCCATGAGTTCACCCTGACCAGTGGGGAATGTCCACGGCCACCACTGCAGCTCCCACCGATGGCCCACAGACCTCAGCTGTGCCCACACCAGCTCCCAGCTGGGGATGTTTATCCAAAATAAAAGATTCCAGTATTTCAGAAGAAGCCACTTACCACTTGACATGGTCAGCTCGAGTCCGGAGCTAAAGCACCAGCTGAAGCGCCCGAAAGGGGTCCCTTCCCTTACCCCATTGTCTGGTGTTTGCGACTGCTCTGATGTCAGAGCTCCCCATGGCAACTGGAAGCGGAGTCAATCCCAAAGAAATTCCACTTTGATGGAGAAAATCCTCCTCCCGGAAGAGCAAGAGTTGGAAGCGTCATCAGCATCATCTACGCTTAAATATAAAAGTTACATCTCATACAATTTAAGTTTATCCAAGGAAAAGGTAACCCTCATCTTTACTGGGAGCAAAATTGGAAAGACACAACCAGCAATTCCTGGGAGAAGGCAAAAGCAACATAAATACTAGGGTTTTGGGTTTTTTGTTGTTGTTGTTTGGAGAAGGCAAAAGCAACATAAATACTAGGGGTTTTTTGTTGTTGTTCGGGGTTTCTTTTGGAGGACCAAAAGAAATACCACACCATGGATGAGGGAGAGGCACAGGGGCAAGGCAAGGGGAGGGTGCAGCAGAGATGGAGGGGAATGAAAGAGAACATCAAAAATAATTAAGAAAGGAGAAGGATTTATCGAGGTGGCAAGGTGAAGGGAGGTGAGAACATACAGTAGGAACAGGATGACTGTAAATACATTCTTTCAGACTGATTACATTACAAAAACCATCTTTTCCAAAAAAATACCCTAGGCTTGAAACCTTCAAGGGGTAAGACCGATTCCCGAGATCCCCTGGGAGGGAAGATGTTTGCACCATGGTACTCCCAGACGCCGTTAGCTGATGGAATAACATCCCAGGGATGCTGTACACCTAGTCAATTTAAAACATTAAAAGACAGGAAATAGAGCGTGGAAAGCCATTTTGAAGCCCTGATAATCCCTCAGCTGTGCAGCACCCCGGCTCGCTGGAGCTAGCTCATCTTCCAACAGTTTTAGGGGAAGAAATCCTCAGAAGAGGTACTTTCCACAGAATTCATTACAGCTCCTTTTACCCTGAAACAAACCCATGTAATTTCTACACAGGAAACAAAACAACATTTACTAAGCACCTGGGATTAAAAAGTACAAGCGCAGAGAGGCCTTTTCACTGCAATTACATTTTTAAATACTGAGCAGACACGCAATAACTTTCTTTTTCAATTCAGTCAGCTCAAACACTCCAGGGAAGATCTCAGCCAAAGCACAGCAGCTCCAGAACATCCCTTCCACAAACAGGTGTGTGAAACACACAAACCAGACCCAGGTATTTTGGTATAACATTTGGTATTTAGACCAAAACAAACGTTAATAGTGAAGCCATTAACGGGATCTTCCTCAGGAAATTCACATTCAGCAATTGCCTTCTTTTGGAAAAAGCAGTTGTCCCATCAAAGGGAAACACATTTAAAACCTGAAGAGGTTTTTTTGGCAAAAATGGAGATTTAAATATTCAATAGGAACAGAACACTGAGAAAAGATCTACTCGAGTTCTAGGAGTTATTCTTTTAAGGGGTTCCAGTCATTTGCTTTCAGCCCAACCATCCCTTCCCACAGCACAGTTAAATCCCAAACCAATTACACACACATTTTTAATTAGTAGCCACGTAGCAAACACACACAACGCATTTATTCAAACTTCCAGAGTGAGGTTTAAACACATCCCACCGTCCCCTTACGAATGGCTTTAATATTGTGTGTTTCAGGGAGCACCGAGGACACACACTTCCAGGTACCAGGTCATTTTTTGCCCAGCCATTTTTCCTTAATTAAAACTGTATCAGCGAGGGCAATAAAGGCTCCGTTTCCATTTTGTTTCGCCTGGTGCTATTTTTTCCAACACAAAGGAAATCTTTGTGGCAACCGAGGCTCAGAGCATCATTCCTGCCTGCAATTATAAACCCATGAAGCTCAAAAGCAAAGCCAGCCAAGACAAAAGCCATTTAATGGGAGGAGATGAAGACTCCAGGAGCTCAGGTGCGCACAACCCATCATCTGCTGAACAGGTTAAAGCAGTTAAAAGTTAATGAGCAGTTAAAAGTTAATGACCACTTAGAAGCTGCATCCCTCCTGCAGATTAGACTTTGCCTTTATTGTTCCTTCCAAATGCAAAATAGCTTAAAACAACAAAGTGCACGGGCTGCTTCAAAGCTAGAGCTACTTCCACCGCCACAGAGGCAGGAAAAAAAGTTACGTCTGGAGCACTGCGTGTTATATTTAGTTCTAAAAAGTATTTAATTCAACTACTGCTGGGGATTCTTAGCAAGAAGAAAGGCATCACTGCTCAGGGACCCCCACCCAGAGCAAAAATTAGAGCCCAGGAGGTGCTGCCGGAGCTCCCGAGTCCGTCGCTCCGCCACCGCCCGCCTCCGTGCCCGCTGCCCCCGGGGGTACCCCGGACCCGGCCCCGCTGGCCGGAAAAATGAACCCCGAAGGGCACCCGTGACCCCGACGTGATTCGAACACGCAGCCTTCTGATCTGGAGTCAGACGCGCTACCGTTGCGCCACGAGGTCTGGGCACAGCCAGCCCCGGCCTGCCGCCAAGAGCCTCAGCACCGCCCCGCGCATGCGCGTCCCCACAGGCCTCTCCGCGCAGGCCTTGGGGCCTTTCCTCCGCCCCGGGCCCCTCTGCCGCTGCCCCCCGCCCGAACCGGAGCTTTTTCCGCCGCCCCGGGCCCACCCCCGGTCCGAACCAGAGCCGCCCCGGGGCTCTCCCGGCCCGCTCCCGGTGGCAGCGGAGCAACCCACAGCCCTGCACTCCAGGCCGCTCAACGGCTTTCAAGCAGCCCGCCCGCCTCGGCCGGCCACGCCCCCCGTGGGCTGTACCATCGCCTGGGGAGGGGTTGATCCGCGCCCCCCGGCTCGGCCCACCTGTACCCCCCCGCCCTGAGACGACCCGGGCGGACCCCCCCATCCCTCCCGGCTCTGGTCTGTCCCAGCCCCGGCACCCCCCGACGGTTTAAAGGGCCCATCCCCGGCACAGGGAGCCCTGTTACATGCGCTGAGTTGCGCCGGGCGGCCGTCCTCAGAGCGGTTTGGGTTGGAGGGGACTGTCACAGGTGTTGCCTGGGCAGGGACACCTCCAACCAGGCCAAGCCCCTTCCAACCTGGCCTTGAACCCCTCCAGGGATGGGGCAGCCACAGCTTCTCTGGCCAACCTGGGCCAGGCTCTCACCACCCTCACACCAAAGAAGTTCTTCCCCACATCTCAGCTCCATCTCCCCTCTTTCAGGGCCAAACCCTTCCCCCTCCTCCTATGGCTCCCCTCCCTGATCAAGAGTCCCTCCCCATCTCTCCTGGAGCCCCTTGAGGGACTGGAAGGGGCTCTAAGGTCTCCCCGGAGCCTTCTCTTCTCCAGGCTGAACCCCCCAACTCTCTCAGCCTGTCCTCCCAGCAGGATGGAGTTGGTCCAGCCCTCCCAGCATCTCCGTGGCCTGCTCTGGACTCTGGACTGCAGTTCAGCTTCGCACCCGCACTGTGAGTGTGTGAGTGAGGGGCTTTGTGGGGTGACTCTCCAGCTGCACACAGGGTTAGGGAGGTGCGTCCCTCCCCACCTCTCCCCCCACGATCCCACCAAACCCCACCAGCTCAGGGCCGCAGGAATAAAACCCGTCTCACGGTGGGCTCTCGTTAAGCGGTTTATTACAGCAGCTGCTCGTACAGCCGGGCTGGAAAGTGCTTGCTCCAAGTGCAGAGGGAGATGAGACGTACAAACGACCCGCAGCAGCACGCTGCTCCCCAAAGAAGGGCTGTGGCAGCCCCGAATATCACCCAGCAGGAGAGAGATCAATCGGCGAGTCCCTCGGTGCAAACCGCAGTCATGATGTACATCTATAATTTACAGTACAATCTTGTAAACTAGGGAACGTTACAGCAGAAGCCGTCGGGCTCAGTGTGTATTTACAGCTCTGGGATACCTGACAGGCATCGGAAGGAAAAAAGTCTCCAGCATCTCTGCTGGGTTTGCTGGTCCCTTCCCAAGGGGCTCCCCCGGGACGTGGCACTGGCTGAGGATGCTCCTGCACCCCCCAAGGGATCCCCTGTGGGCCAGATCCTGCCGTGGGGCTGTCAGGAAGGGGCAACATCCTGGGAGACGATGGGTGTTTTCAGAAAACCCTCGAAGAAAAGGATGCTCTGCCCCCAGCTCCCTTTCCTCGCGCTGAATTACCCGGCCAGCGTTGCTCATTAGCATGTAGCCCGATAATTACTCAGACAAATGTGTTTTTCCATCTGACTTCAAAAGCCTTTGGCTGCGAGTCGTGCTGATATCCCAGGAATGAAAGGCATTGTTGTGGGGCTGATTTATGCTTCGAGCGCCCGCCGTGCTCCTGCCCGCATCGATCGCGTTTCCAAACCCTGGTAATTTGTATGACGGGCTCTTTTGAAGAACCAGCTCAGGAAAGGAGGAAGCTCATCACGCACCAAAAAACCCCTGATCTCCAAAATGTCTATATAAAACCCGTTACTCTAAAAATTCTTACAAATGTTTTCTCTGGCGTAGGAAATCCCAGAGGAAGTGGTGGGCTCTTGTGCGTAGATACGGGCGCCTATTTACAAATGCCACATTAATTTCCCCAAACGAAGGGTACAGTACAGGAGAGATGCCTGCCTTGCCCGAGACGCTCATTTACCACCCGCCAGCACCACGAGGCTGACCCGGTAGTGGTGGGCTCTTGTGCGTAGATACGGGCGCCTATTTACAAATGCCACATTAATTTCCCCAAACGAAGGGTACAGTACAGGAGAGATGCCTGCCTTGCCCGAGACGCTCATTTACCACCTGCCAGCACCACGAGGCTGACCTCTGTCTCTCCCAAGTAGAGAAAAGTCATTTACTGGCATCATGAAAACAGACTAAAAATAGCCGGTTTCTATGGCTACTGGGGCTGGGAGACTCCTGAGGAACATGTCTGGGTAGGTCCCTTCGTGATGAAATCCAGACAGTGGGATAAAAGGAAAGGACAATAAAAAGAGGTTTAGTGCTTTGATCCTGGTTAGGGAGATGCTGCAAGGACAGTTCTGTGCCTTTCCCTCCGCTCCGTCGTTGTGCACTTCCGCAGGGATCGATACAGTTTTATTAGGGGGGAATTAGGCAAATTTATCGGATCGAGCAAAATCCCAAAGCAAACACTAAAATTTAAGCGGGGCTGTGTTGACTCAGGGCTTCCTGAGCGTGTGCCTGCTGTAACCCCCTCTTCTCCTCCTTGTGCTTGTTGCGTACCTGCTTTTGCATAGGGTTGGGTCTGAGACACATCCAGGAGAAATCTGAGTGTTGGGGTCCAGTCCAAGCTCATCTCTGCATAATTAATATTTTTGTATAAATTAATATTTTTGTAGACACCTCGGTACACAGACTGTCTCTCTGGATTTAGACCAGCATAAAGCAAAGGTTGAGTTTCACCCGTATCTTTACACTTGGAATAAACTCCAGGGCAGTGGTTAATCCCCGGTGGTTGAAGTCCACGAGTGCATCACTCACGGGGTCACCACACGTTACGGGGGGGGACTGTGCAAAAATAAAGTTACATTCAAGAAATACGCTTTGCGTTTCACTGTTTCACTGACTTTCTTCTTTTTTTTTCTGGAATAAACTCCAGGGCAGTGGTTAATCCCTGGTGGTTGAAGTCCACGAGTGCATCACCACGGGGTCACCACACGTTACAGGGGGAAACTGTGCAAAAATAAAGTTACATTCAAAAAATACGCTTCGTGTTTCACCAACTTCCTTCTTTTTTTTTTTTTTTTTCTTTTTTTTTTTGGCCCAAAGATAACTCCAAAGGTCCTCGCCAAGGACAGCACCGGGGCTGCAAACCCTGAATTCGGGAGGCTGTGCTGATGTGCAAAAATAGGAATAGAACAAGGTCAGCATTTTCCCAAAGCAGCGTGAGCTTCCCTGTGCCCACCTGGAGCTGCCTGCGCTCTGTCCTCCCGGTAACCTTCTGGAAAATGCCGTGTTTTGGGGCAGCCACAAAGACGGGTTGTTTTTGGAAGGCAGAGGCGAGCAGGGACGGGCTGGGAGGATGGAGCCGGACCGTGACCCTGCAGATTTTATCAGGCTGCCCTCGGTATTTCTCTGCTCAATCCCCCAGGAGGGCAGCCAGTTGTTTTTGGAAGGCAGAGGCGAGCAGGGACGGGCTGGGAGGATGGAGCCGGACCGTGACCCTGCAGATTTTATCAGGCTGCCCTGGTATTTCTCTGGGGTCAGCACGGGAACGTCGAGCAGCTGGGAAAAAATCCTGCCCTCGCGAGGGAGAAAAGGCGGTGATTTTCAGGTGATAGCTGGAAAAAAAAAAAAAAAAAAGAAGAAAAAAAAGGCTTTTTTATTTTTTTTCTCTTGGCTCCCACCTGGGATGCAGAAAGTGCCCTCCCCGTAGCAAACACAGCACTTGTCTTAAATCCAATGTGCTACATCAAGCTGATGCTCACAAGGTGCTTGGGTGGAAGCTGTCCATCCTGCTACAAAGCATCTGCCTTGGGATCACCTGGGTTATTCCCTGATCCTTTGCCACATCTCCAGCAAAAAGACCTTTAAGAACGTGTTACAAGACGGGAGTTGGAGCTGCAGCTTTTTTTTTTCTTTTTTTTTTTTTCCTTGGCTTGCCTCCTGCAATTTGTGCACGTAGCCTTCCAGCTCACTGCACAAACATTTCTTCATCTCCAGCCAGCGCGGCGCGAGCTCCCCGGGCAGGACCACCTCCCTCACCAGCCCGTCTGCGAGGGGGGCTGCACCCCGTGCCCCTGCACACACACACACACACAGCCTTGGTCCCCAACCCGGCTATTGTCATGCAAATACACATCTGTAGGCTCCCTCGCTCCCAAGTAAGCCAATATTTACAAAGGGGCTACCATCGCCTGTCTTGGAAGCCAGCCTGAGGCAATGCTCTGCTTATTTTGATCATTAAAACTGTTTTCCCCACACTCCAGCATCACCCTTGGAACAGGCAGCTCCTCTTTTCGGATGATGTCACTTCTCCATCCCCAGGGCTGGTGCTCGGGTGTTGCCAGCTTCACCCCAGCCCTTTGGCACTGGAGGAAAAGCTTGGGGTGCACGGGATTCACGGGACACCCCCTCCAATGCCCCAGTGGGGACCTGGCCAGGGCAGCCCATGGTGAGAGGGGTCACCCTCCTCCGTGCATCCCACCACCCGCTTTGAGGGAAGCTGGATGCTTTCCTTCATGTAACAGGATTAAAGAAGGATTATTGCTGGGGCAGCGGGGAAGAAATGCATCTTTCTGGAGCAGGGCTCTTCCTGAGGAGGGTTGGAGGTGGAGGCTTCCTCCATGAACCCTGGGAGCCCTTGGTGTTGTAACGGGGGGGTTTGCAGAGAGCTCTGCCATGGAGAGGACAATCACATCTCACACACTTCTCCTGTGCCCGTTACCCCAAGGATGCTCCTGAGGAGCCAGGACTCGGGTGGTTTTGCAGCCTCAGCTTCAGGCTCAGCCATGGGGGGGTCCCTGCACCTCCCCTCCTCTCTCCAGAGGGCGGAAAAACCTTGGAAAAGCACTTGGAAACCACTGGACAGACAACTCCAGCTTATAGCTCATTGCCACCCGCATTAATAAGATTTATCTACTCGGGTATCGCTCGGATCCGGTTGTTTCTGGAGCGGAGAAGCGAGAGCGGGGTGGAAGAGTCAAAGGCGGGGAGGGCAAGAGGAAACCCTGAACAATAAGCAAACTCCTAGTTTAAAAAATGCCGGGGGTTGTGCAAATGTGGGGGAGAGAGGAAGAGAGACGGAGAGAGAGCGTTTGTACTGTGACAAGAGCTGTCAACTTCCCAGCCTTCGCAGTCTCAGAGGCATACGCTGCCCTATTAAAATGCTGCCACTGGAAAGAAAGGGAAAAAAAACCACCAAACCACAAAAAAAAAAACCCGTTTGCTTTTGCCCACTGCAGGATTGTCAGTGGAATCTGGACGGGCAGCTCGGAGGGGCGAGGGGCTCAGCTCCGGGCAGGTTTGCTACAGAAAAGCAGCAGGCTGGAGTCTGGTGGGAAACAATGTGGAGATGAAAGGACCTTCAGCCATAAATCTAGAGGTCAAGTCATTATGACGGGGGAATCAAAAAGCACCACAAGCCATTTATGAACACAATAGAGGTCAATCCAGGAGCAAACCATTTTGCTCGGAGCCGTGGTGGAAAACATATTGTTGCTTTGAGAGCTACATCCATCCAGGGAGGTGGGAAGTTCTCTTTTAAAATAACTCCAGCTCGAGCGCTTGAACATTCGTACTGCGCCTGGTTCATCTGCTGTGCTTTCAGATGCTCCTAGAGCAGGTGTGGGTGAGCCTCTCCCTGTCCCAAATCTGTGGGCAATTTTCATTACACACCTGGACTGGGAACCCCTCGGTGGAGATGGGAATGTTGGAGACACAGGGAGAACCTGATCAGGCACAGAGCTGCATGTGTGGTGTGTGCATGGTGTACATCATGTGCATCATCATGTACCACGTATGCACAATGCAAGCACAATGTGTTCCCAGCAGAGCTCCCAGTTCATCCCAGACCAGCCCTGGGGGATCCCCACCGTAACTGGGAGCCCCTGAAGCTCCATCCCCATCACGCACCAGCCCTATCTCCAGTCTCCAGGGCTGCTCCCAGCACAACGCCCAGCCTCCACCAACCACAAAACCTCAGAGCAACCCTTCCCTGCACATCTTTCACTGCCAGACCGTGATGGATCTGTCATCCAAGAGGTTTAGCAGCAGAGGTTACGCACTAATGAGCTGGGCCAACCCCCCCCTCAACCCCACCGTAGTAATTTATCTTCTGCAAAGCCTGACTGAGCAAAGCTGCCCATGATTTTCCCCAAACCTCTGCTTTTGAAGGTCTCCCTGGAGCTCCTCAGACTGGCCCCAGCTCTCCACGCTGCGCTCACAAGGGTGATGCCTGCTCTGATCGTCACTAGCAGGGACCCAGCTTGTGTCCCCCCAGGAACGGGGCACCCTCAACCAAGCCAAAATGTGGGTGCACCAGCATTAACCTCAGCCCCCCTCAGTGAAGCAGCTCCTCGTGTGCCAAGTGAGAAGTTGCTGCAGCCCCAGAGGAGACATTACAGCCAGCACTAAGCACCGTGTTTTCCATCGATCTCCGTGTGCCTGGCTGAAATCTGCTGAGCTTGATGGTGACAAATGATGGGGAAACCAGACCATTCTCCTGGCTGTCCTCTTGCTGGACACCTCATGTGCCACCGTGTGCCCTCTCCTGTGCCAAAACCACCTGGGAGCACTGCACCTCTGGATCCTGCAGCTCACATTGCTCGGGCTTAAAAAGGGGAAAAAGCAAAGTGCCCCAAGCCTCCCGACCCCGGGGTCTGGCACACGGAGACCACCACGGTCCGTGCCCCCGACTGCCACCTCCAAGCCCCCTCTGAGCAGCACATCCCACCCAGTCACTGCTTCCCACCCCGCAGGGGGGATTTACAGCTCCTCAGCTGCACCCGGCGTTCTTGGTGCTCCTGGCCAGGCTGAGGGGTGTCGTGCTAAAGCCTTTGGATAAGAAGAATATAAGGATTTCTGCTCTGGAGGACATGTTTGTGCTAGAAACATCCCTGGAGTGAATCTCAGGTGCCCCAAGCTCAGGGATTGTGGCCCATTTGACAAACAAGAACAACCTCCTGCTGAGCCTCATGGCTCAGGAGTGCAAGGGGTGGGGGTCACACACTACAGAGTCCCCCAACCCACGGTGTGGGAGCTCCTGGGTCGCTCCGGGAGCGGTATCCAAGGGGGGTCGGTGTGTTTGGTGCCCCCCAAACTCTCTGGTGTGCTGTGCCACAGGACCAGCAGCATGGAGAATGGCTTCTTGGAGTCACAGACATTTGCTTGAGACAGACTTTAAAAAAAACAAAACAACAAAACAACAAAAAAAAGCCCCAAAGCAGCTTGAAAAACAAAACAAAAAAACAACAAAAAAAAGCCCCAAACCAGCTTGTTTTTTTACGTTCAGCCAATTCTGCAGCAGCGGGACAACTTACCAGCCAGGGACCAGCCTCTCCGGCACCACGACTCCAGGAGGGACAGGGTCTGGCCCCGGCTTTTGGAAACCTCTCCAGGTCTGTCTGTTGAGACTTGTTGGAGCAAGGGCAGGTCGACTCGCTCAGGAGGGAAATCTCTACCCGGCTGGGACCCAGGGTCCCTCCGACAGCAGCTGCTCGGCTCCCCAGGGCTCCATGCCTGGCTGGGCTGAGTGTCAGGGGGTAGAATTGGTGCAGCACCTTGATAACATCCACAGCACCTGCTTCTACATCTCAGCAAGGTCATTCCCGTGCTCGGGCTCTCCCCCAGCCATGCAAGTATCTGGGAAGAGGGAGGGGAGAGAGAATGGGAGAAGCTGCAGAATAAGTGTGTTAGAGCAGATTAACCAGCTCCCCCTATGTTGTCCTCATCCTGCTGCTGCTATCGATGAGCAAAACCATTGCTCAGCCCCAGGCTCCCCTGCCCCATCCCAGGCACATCATCCCGGCCCCCTGGGACACCCCAAGAGAGCGCAGGCAGAGGGTGATGCCCAGAGGAGCTGGTCCTTGGAGAGGTGAGAAGAAAGGAGGTGGTGAATGTCCCCCCCACCAGGGAGTCCCAACATACCGAGGGGAAGGGGACAGGGGGTCCCGAGGCACGGCTCAGCAGGGCACACACACGAGTCCTCTCCTCACACTGCCGTCTCCTGCTCCGCGCTGGACTCTTCTTTCTTCCTCTTCATCTTGCAGAAGCCATGGAGCCCGCAGAAGCAAGCGAAGGTGAACTGGGGCATCCCCTGGGGCAGGAGAGGCTCGGGAGCACCCCCGGGGAGACCTGGATGGGGACAGAGAGAGGAGTCAGGGCAGCTCCTGCGGCTGCACAGGCAGAACCCCCCAAATCACAAACTGAGGGACAGAGAGAGGAGTCAGGGCAGCTCCTGTGGCTGCACAGGCAGAACCCCCCACATCACAAACTGGAACATCATAGAATCACAGAATCATAGAATTGCCCAGGCCGGAAGGGACCTCCAAAGGCCATCTAGTCCGACCCCCCCGCAGTCAGCAGGGACACCCCCAACTAGACCAGGTTGCCCAGGGCCTCATCGAGCCTCTCCTTGAATATCTCCAGGGATGGGGCCTCAACCACCTCCCTGGGCAACCTGTTCCAGTGCTCCACCACCCTCACAGTGAAGAACCCCCTCCTAATCTCCAATCTAAATCTGTTCCCCTCCAGCTTAAAGCCCTTGCCCCTCGTCCTGTCACTGCAGGCCTGTCTAAATAGGCTCTCCTTCTAAATAGGCTCTCCAAGGAGCCACATCTCCCTTTCCCCCTCCTTCCCCGCATCCCAGCCCCCCCAGCCGCACGCTCCCCAGTTCCCCACCCAGCGAAAAGACCGATGAGGAGATTAAAAATCAACTCCCTCCCCTTCTCCCCCTCACAAACCCCTCTCCTCAAATCGGGACAGACGTGGGGACAGCTTGCAGGGCCCGGTGAGGGGAGGTGGGGTGCCCCGGGAGCACCCCGGCGCGGGGGCAGCACCAGCGGTTACGGCACAATGAGGAGCAGCTGAGAGCGGGGCTGGCTCCCTTTGTGTCCGTCTCCAACGGATAAAATAATGCCCCAAAGCACAGCCCACATTATGGCCCAACAGCTGCAAAATGTAATTATGCAAATGAAAGGCTGTATTTTTTTTTTAAAAAATAAATAACAACTACTCGCAGAAATGCTATCTGAAGTGAAACTTTCGTTTTCTCCCTGCTTTAATGTTTAGCTTTTTTACAGTTTGCAGATGACTGGCTCTGATTTGGCCCCAGCAGAGGTGATGCTGGTGCTCAGAGGGAGCCATGCCCAGCCCGGGCAGAGCTGCACTGCCCAGAGAGCCACATCCTCACTGCCACCACTGTCCCCCCTCCAGCCGTGCAGGGAGGAGAGGGACCACAGCACCCACAGCACGGCCACCACCCTGGGGCTCCCTGCAGAGCCTCAACTCGGCATCTCTCCCCTGCCAGCACCACCACGGACAGGGAGCATCTCAGGACCTCGGTCTACCCATCTGTGAAATGGGCGCAATGCTCAAGCTGTCCAAGGACTAAGAGGAGGCATCTCAGTGTATGAGGCACTGTCACCTCCCGAGGCTCACAGCAAGAAAAGAGTGACCCCCCACACACACACACAATAGCCAGGCACTTTTGAGAGCCCCCAGCCCCTTGCCTGCAGCCCTGGAAGAGTTGGGAGCAGCCCTAACTCACAGCAGGGAGAAAATTACCTACAGGGGAAAAAAAGCCAAAGCAGGTGGGGCCCGTGGACCCCCCATTTCTCTCCCCCAGCGGTGATGTTGCAGGGAGGGGGGTGATGCCACATCCCTGCCTCCCCCCTTTCCAAGGGGCCCAGCTGCAGCACAAAGCCACCGGCAGCAGTGAGAGGCATCCCATTTAATTCCCTCCTGCCGCTGCCCCCCCTCCTCCGCCCCCGCCCCAGCCATCTGGGTACCTGTCTAGTAGCTCCCAAATTAAATAAGGCTACCTCTGGAGCTCACAAATAATGACAACAGGCGCTTTAATGAGTCTCCCATTCTGAATGGCTTCTCAGCATAGCGGCAGGTCTCCGCGTCCCTCTTTGTGCTGCTGCTTTTTGTTACCAGCCTGAG